GGGGGGGGTCTTCGACCTGAAAAATCAGGGGTTAGGATTTGCACCCGGTCGAAAGAAACCTTGCTATCGCAAGGGTAACTCCAGCTAGCTTCGCTAGCTTTCGTGAAAAAATCTCCTGGGAGCACTCCATGCTTTAAATCCATCTCACATGTTGCTAGATGGTGATGCAATTTTTTTATTTTTTTGGATGCTAGCACATCAATTTGGGGTGGTGTTGGGCCTGCTGGAAGGTTTACTGAATGGCTCAGAAGCAGGCTCTTGTTCCAGCGCCTGTGTGTCATCTGCAGTCCTTCACCAGTTACATATTCACCTAGTAGTCTGTGACTATGACCCTCCACCCACCGACCGTTACGCATCCCCACCCTTAGAGACGCCCACCGGGTGGCTCAGGCGCCACCGACCCAAAGAACCTCCCACCCTTTCTGCCCTACTGCCCTCCCATCCCCACGCCCTTCGCACCGTCCACAACCAGCCCGGCCCACGCCCTTCGCACCGTCCACAACCAGCCCGGCCCACGCCCTTCGCACCGTCCACAACCAGCCCGGCCCACGCCCTTCGCACCGTCCTGTCGCCCTTCACACCCGTCCTGTTGCCAGGGAGCGATCACCACCAATAGGGTGAAATAGATGCTGAGCTCCCACTTCTTCTCGATCAACGGGATCTCAGCCGGGAGCGAGACCCAAGGGCCAGACCACGAGCGTCACGAGCTGTGGGACCGTATGACATTATGGGACATGATGGGACCTAAGAATCGTTACATACAATGTATGACTGTATGACCTCAAGAATAGCTATACATGGTGTTACATACATTTACCCCATGTATGACCAACTATTCCATACATGATGTGATGCCAGTTCCAAACGGGTGCAAAACTGGAGGGAGGAGCCCAGGATCCACTCACAGGATAGGTCTAAACCCCCTCCATTGAGCTGGTGTAGACATTCAATGTGTATTCGGCAGACATGGATCCCTCAAGCGAGCCCAACGACGAACACCGTTCAGGGAGGTCAACACGATTGCAATACGCCATTCTTGGGGGGGTAAATGGCAGACCTGACTACAAGATACTACAAGCAGAGGGTTCATGGCGTTGGCTCTTAGTGAAGAACATGAGTTCAACAGAAAGCCACTCGTTGATGAGACGTCGCCCATGACTTATGAAGGGTCATCATGGGGTCATCGGGGTGCTTGCATAAAGTACAAAGGACTCATACGTGACCGGAACAAAGGAGAGGGGGCAGTTGAGAGCTTGTGTCTGAAGAGGCCCCTTCACCTTGCAAACCGTACGTAGCACAGGTAGAAGCTGCTGCACACCATGGGCAGCAGGGGGTTACCTACGATCACGTATGATCAGTTCAGGTCATGCAAATGAGCCCTCCTCCCGCCCACGAGGTGCCCAGAAGCGTAGATCGATGCGATGGAATCCATGGTGACCTCACGCTTCCATCGAATCGAGCCGCTCGCCGCTCGCTGGGCTTCGCCGGTGGACATCGAAGAGGAGGTTTTGGGGGGGCCCAGCACTTGGCTGGACTTGGCTTGGTCTCCAAAACCCCAGCTTGGTCTGGCATGAGTTCGGACCAGGAGTAGTTCTCCCCGACCCGTTGACTGTTTGCGGGTATAGCGTTCGACTGGGGTCGCAGCCTGATCGACGACAGGGAAACGAGCTTCAGGATTGCGGCGGAGGTGTGATGAGAATGCCGAATGCTTGCAAAAACAAACATAGAATCTTCAATGGATGCAACATGCCGCAAACATCCGCAAACAGGTAGGTCGTTCCAACTGGTTTCTTCAAGTATGGACCCTCGAAGTACAGTAGAATATGGTGAATCCCGACATCGTTTCTTGCAGGAGTCGACATGTCGGGGTGGTTTGGTTCGTTCCATCCAGTGAGTGGATGTGACAGGGGCCCGACTGCCTCCGTTCGTTCAGCACCCCAACATCTGACGCCGGAGTTCTGCCAGGTGGCGAATTGGGTCAGCGTCCAAAAGGAGATCCACAGGCTACCTGGGTCCGACCGCCCACCCGGGCCGCTTGCTCGGACGCTTCGGACGTCGGACCCGGGCCAAACACCGGTTTGCCGGGTCCGGCGAGGGGGTGAGAGCAATGACCATCGCTTTGGGGGGAGAAAGTATGGAAATCGGTCACTTGGGTTCCGCAGCTACCCGGCTACCCCTCCTGCCCTTCAGGACCACCAACGGGGGCATCACGTTCGCGTTAGTTGGCCCTTTGGACTTCGGTCCTGATCTGCAGGGGGGTGAGGGGGGGGTGGCACGACGCGTGGGGACGATCCCCCGCTTGGAAGCCTCAAGCAGATGGATGTCACGCTCGTCCAGTGACGGTTGTCCATCTATGTGACGGTCGTGACGTTACATGTCACGTCATCTCATGTCATCACTACGATCCACTTCTGGGAGGCGACCAGTCATCCAATCCTCCGGCCCATCATCACTACGGACCAGTGGCACATCTCGGATCTGCATGATCTTCAGGTGGGGAACGGAATCCACAGCCCAAAAGGGGGGGTGGACAGTGAGAGCCCCGGTGGATTGGGGAGAAAAAAAGGATTTGCATGGGATGCCCCCAAAACGGGTTCACAAGTTGGGCGGATATCAAGATCTGAGCGCACTGTCCTGAACCATCAACCATTCAAATCATAAGGGCTCTTTCAAGCAAGGCATTGTGGCGAGCGGCTGAAGCTCTTTTCAATGATCGGACCTGTCAGAGTGTCTGCTTTCAAGGTTGAGTCGTTGGCGATCATCTCGATGCCTAGCAGGGGTGACGATGACTGGACGGACTGGACGCCTTCCGCATTGGTGGTCTGGCATCGGTGGTCTACAACCCCGTGCCCTCCACAAGTACCCGAAACAAATGTTAGAAATGTCCATGCGCGCCAACCGCAACCGCAACTGTTCTATCTCGCTCTCATGGTGACCCGGTCTTTTTACATGAAGTTTCGTGGGTGAATGGACTGTCTTTTGTGAACGACTGTGGCCAGCAGTCAATCAAACATAAAACATAATCAAACAGCAATCTTTTGTGCAGGGGCGTAACTTCCTAACCCCACCTCGCTTTCTTAGATTCTTAGAGCCAGGAGGTTTTTTCTGATTCTTAGAGCTGTAGCGCCCCTCGCCAGCTCCAAGCTCCTGCACATGGCCATACTGCAGTCGAGGGATGTCAAAGGTTTGTAATTCTGGTGACATCCTCCGTGAACAAGGCACCCAGCTCTGAGGAATCACTTCTCCAAGCTGACAGGTGTACCAAGCTGACACCCCAAGCTCTGACCCCCTCCAGCTGTTGTGGCAGCTAACCCGTTCCAAGCCGCCCAAAATGGCGAAGATGTACAACACCTGAGCCCCCAGGCAGAGACAAAGAAAGAGACCAATTGGATCAACACGTGACCAATTGGTTGTCCCAGATGACATGAGATGACCCAAGATGAACTGTGATCTTGAACTGTGATCTTCTGTGATCGGCTCTCACTGGTCTCCCAGGTGGCCCTTTGCCATGGGTATCTCTCAAATGCTCATGCTGAAATATGCTGAATGGGATCCATTTGGAAAAAGAGCTAACTGGACATAACCACCTACATATATAGTATATGGCAAGTAGGTGCTCAAAAGAGTACAATCGTTTACCGTGGGCCCCACATAAAGTAGTTTCTTAATGTCGGATGGGCGTTCAAAGGGTGTTCCACAACGTCCGTGGGCCCACTTCTCTATCTTTGTTGGAGGAGAGGACCAACAAGGTCGACCCCAAACAAGGAGATGACCCGCAGACTGAGCAGCAAGATGCCAAGTGGCCAGCAGCAAGAGTGCCATGGTCGACAACATGGTGTTACCTGTCGGTCGCAGGTCGTCGTGTGACACTGGAAGCTTCGTGTCACCGAAAGCTTCGTTGGCGGATCTGTAACGAAGGAAAGGTGACGTGCTCGTGTTGGCCCACCAAAAGAGAAACACGTGAAGCAACAGTCTTGAGCGACAAATCTGCTACAGTGATGCTTCACCATGTGGATAAAGGGATGAAAAGATTGGCAAACATGAGAACATGGCTAATCCGCTCGTTTATGGCACCTCATGGGTCTTCAAAGCGCAACTTTTCATACATCTATTGCGGCGGCTTTTGGACTTCATGGTGCGGAACGTTGCTACATGTAGGTTTCGGCATTTGATGGCATTTGTAGGTCTTTCACGCAGCAAACTTGCGTAGATAGGTTCACTAAAGGAGCATTGTTAAAGGCCCGAAGGGTGAAAACCCAGAAACATCTGGAAGGGACACGGTCCATTTCTGCTACCCATGCTCCATGTCATCACCCACCACAACCACAACACCCACCCACGCCGCACTCACTCCCAAACCTATCCCCGGCTCCCCCCTTTCGCATCCTTTCGCCCGGCGAAACATGCACACCGGGTAGCAGGAAGTGAGCAAACCGGAGACCAAGCGCCAAATCGTTCGCATCTGCTTGATCCTGAGGAGACGAGCACGAGCACGATGGAGGCAGTCTGGAGGCGCTTATGTGGCCCGAAGCCACCGTTCCCCCATTCGGGAATGGTGGGAATGCATGAGGCGGCAGGCTCCGGCTGCCCCGGCTGTGTTCGGGCTGCCGGGTCAGAGGAAGATCAAAGATTTGCTGTTTTCTTGGGGGCCCTGAACATGAACCTCTTCCTGCACCAACCAGGGTTCAACTCAAAAGGCATCCTTTTGGGATTAGAATCGTTAAAGTTGGGGGGTTGGCATTGAACTCCTCGTTTCGGACCAAACACGCTCCTCTTTCTTTAAAACCTCGCTCCATTTCTCCACCAAACTCCTTAGCTGGACCGTTCCTTTGCGTTTCTGTGTTTGTTTGCTGTGTGGATGGTGTGCGAAATCCGGGTGTCCGAGACCCACTCACGCAAAGAGAACACTTCACATCACTTGTGCTCCCAGCACCTCCTCAGGTCTTTAGACCGGCCAGGTGGCATGCGGACGGCGCGGATCAAGCGGAGCAACCGCAAAGCCCTCAAGACCAAGACCTGCGGTCCGACCAGGGTCCGACCGCGGTCCGCAGGTCCGGGCGAGTGCATTGGTGTGCTCATCGGTGTAGACAGCATAGAACCACCCCAAATCGTGCAAAATTCGTGCAGAAGAAGTAATTCAAGGAGATGTCAACCAGCGATCGGTTCATGTGATTCGATGTGTTTCAGCTCAACTGCTTTTTCCTGGCTAGCTAGACCACACTCTGAGGTACGTTCAACTCTCGCCTGTTGGATGATGGATGGGACGGTCAGCACGGTAGCAAAGATCTGACCGATAAAGCCTGCGGAGAGGATCCCCAGAGCTGCCCCCCCAGGCCGATCGCTCGTCAGCGCCCTCAAGATGTTCGCAAGTCGATCTGGTGTCAGCCGGTTTCGTGGTTCGGCTCCAACCACTGGTAGTTATCCCTCAGTGATCCTCTTGTATCCGATTTTATCCTGTTTAGGCTGGCCAAGAGGAAAGCACCCCACCCATCTCTTTGCCCAAGGAGCTCAAGACGACCAAGATCAAGTCAAAGTCGAACCAAGGATCCTTAAAGGCTTTCCTCAGCCGCCGGCTCAGTCAACACGGAACTTCCGTCGCAAACGACGCAGAGTCACTGAGTCGAACGGAATCCCCCAAAGGACCTGGGATTATAGTAGATGAGATGGTTGACCCCTTAGGAGACACATCACATCACAAAAGATTCTGCCGATGGGTTCGTACCAAGTTTGTGCGTACATCAGACTGAAAAAAGACAAGTGATTGGTGTTTGATTCGGCTCGTGACAGGGCAGGTAAACCCACCCCCACACCCCCACACAGAAGGTCTTTCAGGTACCAACTCATGAAGTCACCAATGGAATCCAGAAGTCCTACCCCCCGCTGGCAGACTCAAATGGACCTGAGAATTGAAGACCCTTTTCCTCTACAACCCAGTGGTTTGGGGGTTCCATGTGGTCCTTCGACACCAGTCTCAGACCCAGCTGAGCCAAGGGACCACTTGTGCGCAATGAGCCGGATCACGATCTCCTTGTTGTCATCGGATGTGAGACGAAAACATCCGATCACCACTGAACACCAAGAGTTGGCACTGTATGTGTCCTGTTTCTTTGTTTAAATCAGACTTGTTCATGTTTGTCATGTTCGTATGCTTTAAGTGTCTGTTGTCTTAAAACTTTTGTCACCCATATTCGCTGTTGTCAGAGGCGAGCTCCTTGCGTCCCCTGAAACAAGGTCACCAGAATTGGATGTATTTTCTCGATTCTTCAGTGTCTACAGTAGCCTAAAGAAGTGTGAAAGCCTTTCTGAGATCAAAGGGTTTCCCCCCTCTGCACTGAAGGTGTCACACTTCTGTCCCCCTAAGTTGCCCAAAGGGTTCAAACACTCCAACGTACTCACTCTCTCTTTCTCTCTCTCTCTCTCTATGCGGAGTCTTGCTAGAGTCTAGCTGTCTCCTCTCCAACGTGCTGTCCCCCTCTATCTCCTGATATGATTCCCGCCGGTTTCTAATGACTTGAAAAGACCATTCCTGCTTATTAACAATGCCCTTTTGTCAGGCAGCCTGGCTCGAATTCCACAGCTTGGGCAACCCCTCACCAAGCATGGATTTGATTCAAGTGGAGAGCCTTGAGGTAGTATATGCATCAGTCCTTGAATGTGGAATACATGTCGTTTTGTCCTACCGTCCTACTTGCCAGAAGTCCACAAGTTCAGCTGTCCAACTCTACCAAACCGGTTCCAAATGTCCTCCCTCCCTGACAAGTCCGAGTACAAAACCCACATCGACTCATCAAGTCAGGAGCCCAAGGATACCAATGAAATCAAACCCAACATCTCAACTCAACACCAAAAAACGTGTTTAATGAGATAAACACCAACCCTTCACAGACACCATTCCGAGGGAATTCAACCTGGGCCAGTTTGGGAGTCCCCGTCCCTCCCCCCCAACGAAAGAGCATGCTGTTCTTCCAAAGCGGCAACGGTGTAGACCACCAGAAAGAGGATCTCCATGACCCTTGGCGCGACTTCGACTTGGCCCACGCGCACCGTTCGGTGGGCCCGCACCCTCTAATGCCCTCGAAAGGCGACGTCACAAGGACCCACAAAGGGGACCCACAAGGCCATCAGTCCACCATGAGAGGGTAGTTTGAAGGCTTGACGAATCTGAAGCCAAACTTGATCATCTTCTCCGCGGATACTCAGGTCACTCTCCACACCGATCATAATGGCATTGACCTCAGAAATCGCATGTGCACATATGTGCACTGGGCCTGCTGAGCACCCTGCTGCAGCTGGCACAACATGCATGTCTCTTACCAGGCCGCCAAATCAATTCAGATAGGGTACAATCGTTATTCAAACATTATCCGTGCGTTCTGACCTCTTGCCAGCAAATAGAGGATTATTAATGGGCGGCACTACATACTAGTAGGAGAAAGCGTGGTGGCGTGTGCTGATCTTTAAGTTTGATAAATAAGATGAGAACTGTGTTCAGTCATCAATTGATTTCTTGGAGGCCGAAACAGTTCATTTGACAAGGGTTTGACTGGCAAAGGCCATGATAGAAAGCATGCCTATGTGCATGTAGATTAATTACATGTATGTCTCATGTAGTATGTTACTTTAAATAACCACTGTTTGTTGGGTGCCAGATCTGCCAAAACGATGAAATGATGCATTAACAAAATCCGTTTTCAGAGTTCATAGCCTTCTTCTGTGTGCACTGGGGCAAGGGCGGGTCTCAAGCTGAGGCAACTCCTTACTTTTTCTTGGAGGTGTTCCGGTAGACTTCAGAATATAAACAATACAGAATACAGAACAAAACAAGTGTCCGATCTAGATCCCCAAGGTCCAGAGTTGCAGGCGCTCTGCGTCCTTGCGATCATCTACCAACCAAAAGCATCAAACACATATATGTGTTATACATATACAGACATATACATATATATAGATTATAGATTATAGAAATATATGATATATGATATATATTCTGTGATTATGTGTGTGTGTGTGCCCTGCCAGCCACTGGAACAACCTGGAGGAACCCTGATGAAGCACCTCCACCCTTCCCTCGCGTTCCACCGGTCCACCTTCCGTCACGGTCCCGGGTCCAGTGGAAGAAGGTCGGTCCCTTCAAGGGGCCAAAATCACCACCGAGATGACGCACTCGAAGACGTTGTTTCCAACCACCCTCCTGCCATGCACTGCCGTGCACTTCTGGGTGGAGTCCATGGGGTTCCATGTGGAGCCCTAAAAGATTGATTCGGAGTCAACTTCTTCGTGGGAGGACCCCTCAGGCTTACACCGCTTTCTGATCTCTACCTCAAAATTCTCTGCTGATGTCACCCGGTTTCTCTGAACTACGGTCCTGAAACAAGGGTGAATGCTCAAGAGCTTGATTGCATGAGTCTAGGCCGCATACAACCAGCGCAACTGGCACTCAGACTCACACACCCGAGTCTACCTCTGGGAGTTGTACAGGAATGGTATCTAGACTGCTCACTTAGAGTCCAACCCCAGGCATTCATGCACTGGCTGGGAGTCCTTCCTTTTCGGAGTGATTTCAAACCTGGCCGAGTCCACATGTGGCACGCCCCACCAGGAGCGTGGAATAAATGCCCGGATCGTGCGCCTGCACTTCCGCGCGCGCGCGGAGGCACCGCACCTGCACAGGTGCACGATCACCGGCCACCAGCCACGCTTCCCATACCAGGAGATGCTGCGCACCTGCCGCGTCGCATTCCTCGGGGAGCCCGGCTCTCTGCTCGGCCGAAGGCGCCTCTGGAAACGACCGGTCCGAAGCCAGTTCGCTGTTTGCGGAGGTGTGAAGTCCGTTGGTAGTAGAGGAAAACGGAGTGAGTATAAGCGGTATAGGTATGGGCCGGGGTGTTTAAGACACCTGATATGAGAAGTTGTGCTTCGTCGAGCAGTCATTCTAGATGTTGTCCTTAGGTCCCATGACAGGCCCACGCCAAAGAAATACATAAAGCATCATATTAATGTTGATACCCCTGGCAGCCTCACACCAAACCTAATCAGTAAGGTATTGCATCCTCCCCGTAAGATCCCGTAAGTATGGCCCATGCGGGCCGTACGAACCTCTTCGTGCTGTGCCCAGTGTCCGATGTTCCTCCATGAGCTTGTTCAGCACCACGTTGTCCGTCACTCGGCAAGCGCACGCGCGCTCATACGGCTGAGGTGGGCGGGGCGGAAGGATCACAAGATGCCCATGTTCAGAGACGCTCCAAAAGCAGTGGGAGTCCAAGTGAAAAAGGCAAAACGCACTGCGATTCTGCTGGGTGCCCATAGGTGCACGCAAGCTTGCAAGATATTGCAGGATGTTGCCTCATATGTGAACACAAACATAGAAATCGTTGGGGATGTGAACAACCCACCAGCTGGCATATTCCACTGGAGTTTTAAGATCATTTTACAAACCACCCCAATTCCGATCGGATTTCCTTGCATTCCCATCTAGTCAGTTGAAATCGTGTGTTGCACGCGTGTTCCAACGTTTAGCTTATTCTTGGAAAAACACACTCCGCATGAACCCCACGCATCCCATCTCATCCCATCCCATCTCTCACCATGCATTCCCCCATACGCCAGGCCACATCCGGGATTCGCCGCCCTTGGTGCCGCATGCTGGGGCTGTGAAAGGAGAGGCTGGACGTGTCGAGCCGGACGAATCTGGAGGAATAATTGGGAGGATTAGCGACTAATCCCTCACCCTAGTTCAATACCCTGAGCCCCTGAGTCTCGCTGGAAAAAATGTTTGACCCATTCAACCCCTTTTCCACCTGTTGCCATCTCCCTAGCCGCTAGCCTCTGTAGCTAGCTCACCATTGACACTCTGGTCAAACGATGGAACCCTTTTCCACCTGTTGTTGGATTGGAGTGGGGAAACCTATCCACGGACTGGGCACTGATAGTCTGATAGTTCATAAATGGAGAATGCACTTGTCAAAATGTGACAATCATCCACGATGGGACATGGATGCCGAAACTCCCTGTTCAGTTTTGTGTGCATGTGCTTCTCTAAGATTGTCCTCTTGTCTTGTGTTTGTTCTGGTCGCCTTGGCCAGCTTTGCCCATCTAGAATTGCCGCTGAGTGCTGTAAATGACCTGGGTGTGCACTCTGGCACTAAGCCAATGTAAGCCAGAGTATGTTAAATGATGCCCCAGGATAGCCGGGTAGCCCATGGGTAACCCAAACGATGGGTTCTGGCGTGACACACTTGGAATATATATATATATATATTATATACACCATATGAAGACTCTTGATAAATTAATACGTACAAACCCTCCATTTGGATCCAAAAAACCCTCTCAAATGTTTTTCTCCACTCAAGTCTGCCACACTGTCAGCATTCCGATTTCCGATGGAGGATCCCTCTTTCGCACTGTTCAAACCAGATGAAGATACTTACCGCATCTTGCTGGGGTTTTTGAAGCCGAATGGAATTCACCCTAAACCCTTAGGGAGGCGCCTATTTGAGCGTTTTCTTTGAGAATCAGTTCAAGAATGATCAAAGAAAATCACCCAGATTGGTCCAGAATCCCATCATCACCGGCAGGGGGCCCAATTGGATGGTCCACCTCTCTTCATTTGCACCCAAGAAGCTGGCTGCCTGTCCCCTCCTCCTCTTCCTCCGGATCTTTCTCGTCATCCTCGAGGGAAACAGCCTCACAAAGGCACCAACGGCGAAAAAAGGGTGAGCAGAAAAATCCGGAAACGAGTTGTTTCGAAGTGCTCCGCAACCCAAAGTCAACATACATGCCATAATTATAACATTTGGACATGCTCCAAGTGAAATACTTGGATTTGCTTAAGGGAGCTGGAAAAATAGAACATGTTCCCCGGAAGGGGATTTGCTCATAGGGTAAATTTGATCACAATCACCTTAAGCAAAACCAGGAATAGAGCGGCTTGGGTATTTATGGTAGCAGTATGGTCAATAACCCCCATGATCGACGGAGAAACACATGGGCAGGCCTCTTTGGTCTCAATCTTCTTGATGACGTCCGCAGGCGCCTCCCTCAGATCAACCGCAGGCTCCTCTTGTCCGGCCAGCGCAAACGCGCGCGCGCGCGAGGAGAAGTGGAGCAAAGTGGAGGATTGGTTCATGGCCCTCCCTTGGCAGGTTCCGGAGAACGAGTCCCCAAAAAATCAGCTTTAAACATGTTTAAACCGTTCAAGGCGGGGTGATATAGATGTTGAACACTATTCCAGAGGTGCTTGACCTCCCGGAACAATTATGTCGGTTTGGTAGGTACAAATGATTCCAAATTGATTACATCAAGCAGGCGCATGAAAGATGACACATGTCCCTCAACGCGCTTTTCATGTTTCAACTCCAAGGTTGCCTCGGGGTTCAGGACCTTGAAGAAAAATAAATTATGACATGACACAAAAAATCTTTAGCAGGGCCTGAGCCTCCCAAGTAAATCTGGAACAAGAAACAAATCAAATATACTGGACCCTGGTATATATGGGTTCTTCTACATACTATTCCTAATCCCCAGCATCGAAGTGGAAAATAGCCCCTTGGAAAGTCTTCAAAGGGGCGATGCCATCCACGGTGATGGATTGGACAATGATGGGCCAAACCAACTCCTGAGAGTCCAAATTGACTCGGCTCACCCGCACCACTGGGCCAAGACCGGGTGAATTCGCCCTCCCTGGTGTGACTCGCTCGGCTCGGCGAACGGAGAACGCGCCAGGGTCCTGATCCTCGACCACAGCCACGTCCAAAGCCACCTGAACAAGGTGAACCGACATCAACTACAAGTTTCAGTCCCCTTGCCAATTTTACGGCATATACTACTTGGTGACTGAGGGAGAAAAAAAACACCACTCACGGTCAGCCCAAACGTCTACATCCACCCGTACCACCCAGTCAAGCCCGTTCATGAAGTTCAGTTTGAGCTTTGGGAAGCTCCACTTGGGAGACCTTTGGGCATGAGGTCAGCAAGGGATAGTAAGGGCATGAGCAGCATGGCAAAAGTGAAGGGACAAAAAAAACGAGCGCAGTTCCAGTTCGGAATGCCAAACTGCTTAAAACCGGGGCATCACAATAGCTTTTCATGAATTTTCAAGGCAGGTAAGTCTAAGATAGTCTAAGTATGACTGGGTCCTAATGCAAAACAAGTCCAGCAAAACACCCGTGTCACCACACACATCCAGATTGGGCGACACTGACGAAGCAAATGCTTATACACATGTATATAATATATATATATAGGGTTCATCCCAAAACACGAGGTTCTTGGAGAAAACACGAGGTTTCCCATTTTTGTGTTTTTTTCCGCCCATGCCATCTTCGAAGGCCGGGCCACAGGAACTTGAATTCAAACTCCAAAAGCCCAGGTTGATGATCAGAACGAAAAAAATCTCAACCAACATGCAACTATTGTACCCCCCTAAAACCCGTGAAAAAAACAGGGGTTGTCACGGTATAATCACGGGTTTGTCACGGGTTCGTCACGGGTTTGGGAAACACAATGTTTTTCTGAAAACCCGAGGTTTTTCATGCAAAATCAAGGGTTGACACGGGATAATCACGGGTTTGACGCGGGTTTGTCACGGGTTATCGGAGCTCTCAATCACGGACCCGAACTTTTCCTGACGAGTGTTGAATGTTCTTAACATATTGTTAAAAATGTTTTGACCCAGGAAAATTTGATAAGTCGGCGGGAGAAAATGAATATGGAGCACCTGCACATGGCTATCGAGGGTTTTGGGGCAAAACACGAGGATTTGGTTAAAAACCCGAGGTTTTCCCTTATGTCACCGCTAAACCCGAGGTTTGTTTTCAAACCCGACAAATTTGTAGGGTTCAGATGCTCAGGGTATATATTACTATACACATATTGGCACAATATTTTTCTTGTGTTTCGAGATCTTGGAAGCTGAACCTCTCAGTGTCCCTGGAAAAAAGGTTATCATACGCGTAGGTCATCCTTTTTTCCACCTGTGCCTGTTGGATTTCAGTACAATATGAGGAATCCAATCCCCCCCCAAACAGGTTAATTATCCAGGTTCTGCCACTTTTCCTGGGTAGGCTTGGGGATCCCCCAGCCACGACATCGATCTCGACTCATCCGCTCATCCTCAGGCGATCCACGTTCTTCGCCTGTCCTCTCGCGAACCGCGGCGCGCCTGCTGAGCCCATGGGCGCTTGATCATCTCATCCAGCCGCAAGGATAAACCCTGCAGGGCCAACCTGGCAAGGTCAAACCGGAAGGATCTCGACGCGCAAGCGCGTTGGGAACTGGTCGGAAGGTGTGGAGGTCTGGTGAGACCATGGAACTCCTCAAGTGCCAGCAACCCATGGCAACCAACGTGATTGTTCTTGGGGATGCTACATGCCGCCGTAGGCGGTGGTCCCTCGATTTCGAGTCATCATTCATCAACCCCCCCTTGAATAGGAATGACCCACTCAACCAAAGGAGCCCCAAAGCTGATCCGGCCAATGGCCTCATAATCTGGGAACTTTACGCAATCCTGGTCATTCATTTCAACAGCATTTTACATGACCTTGCTCACTTGACTCTTCCCGGGGCATTCCACCTGGAGGTCGGTGATTCTTTTTGGAATCAACGTGCAACCAGGAAATCCACAGCTGGAACTGCTCAAGTTCAGAGCTTACAAGATCCTTTGCTGCTTCGTCCGGTCACTTAGAGCCACAGAGATCCCCGGCTGCCCGGCTGCCCGGCCCCCGTGCCGATCCTTGAATCTGCCAGCTGAGAGTCCAAATCCTTCAGATTGGCCTCGCGACAGCGAAAACGAGAGCCACTGAGAGGGATCCCACAGAGAGCCGCTGGCTGGCTCTTGAGGGCTCTCAGCATTTCCCATTCTGTTTCAATGTCCGATGAGCGCCTTTTTGTTTCAAAAGGGTCTACCATGTTTCACATACCAGGACACCCTAATTAAGGGGTGTCTATTGATAGCCCCGAAAAGAGGTGATTCGGTGTGTCCATGAACCACCCAACTCCTGGGGGTCCCAGTATGTTTCATATATGTTTCATCTGACCTTTCGACTTGGGAAGGTTCCCTTATCTTGCTTCACCACGGCGAGCCCGACGGGTCCACGACTTCCTGTGCCTTTTCACCCAGACGCGGCGAACATGGGACTGCCATAGGACTGCCGAGAAACAGCCAGGGGTGGTGCCAGCGGGGTCAATAGGGCGGCATATATTCCAGTCCCATGGAGTGTCTAGGATATATATATATAACTACATATATATAAGGATATATATATATGTATATTTTGTACATATACATATATATATATATATATTATGTTATATACATATATACATTATCATTATACGATCTAAATTGGTTTAACTATGGTATAATTAAATGGGCAGTAGTTCCACGGATCCGGTCCTTCACCTCGGTATACTTACCCTGGAGCCCCCCAGCGGCGGCGGGGCCGCCATGGCCCGAGACTCGGTACGCGGCTGCAGCTGAATGGCAAACTCTTGGGGTTTGAATAGGGATAGGGGACTCCCATGGGGGACCACGTTGGGGTCACCCTTGGAATTTTCGGGATCCGTTGGGGGTCGCCCCCATAGATCAGACGTGCACGGGCTGCACGGGACCCAAAGAATGGCGAAACCAATGGTTCCCCAAATTGGGTTTGTATGCATGCTACATGGCTACCATATGCGACAATATCGATCAATATCTTGGGTTCGCGCATTGCTGTACTTCACATTTATCGCACCACCCACATCCAGACCATCGCACCACCTTGATAGGAGCCAAGATCCATGGAGGCAGTGCGGCCGCTCTCGCGCGCGACGGAGCAAGCGAGTAACGGAACGGCCCGCAGTGAGACGCCTCGATGGAGCTATGCTGCACCTTGACGCTGGCGATGAGCTGATCCGGCTGCGCCAGCCTCGGGGCGCCGCGCGGCGCGGCGAAGGTGGACGGTTGAAGGGAGCTTTCGGTCTACACTCTTCGGAGCGAAGACCTCCCGAAGCTGGGTCTTCGGAACAATGGTCAGCCAAAAATCGGGGCCGCTCTCCATCTACTTCCATCGACTGTTCTTCAGGGAAGTGTGAACCAAAATGTAGGGATTCCCTGGATCCACACACAGAGGCCAACATCTTTCGTCGGATGTGTTCCAACTCACCGTCCTTCTCGAGAAGTCGCAAAAGACAAGCTGCGAGTCCCTCGAAGCAAACCCCCCCACTGCCAAGCTATTTCTTTCGCTCGCCCAAAACACCACGCTTCCCAGGTCCGCCAGGTCCGCCGTGTCCGGCGGTCCTGCCACGTCCGGGAGCACCGTTCCGCGAGGCTCACTGAGGTACAGACGACTCTTGGATCGCCTTCATGTCCTCCAGGATCCCTTCCCAGCCCACATTCATCCTCAACCGAATTCGCGTGCGCGCACCGCGCGGCGGATCTCGCCGCGGTGTTGAGGACTCCGGTCTCCGGACTGCGCCACAGGGAAGCTGGACCTTCTGGTCAACTGACGAGTCTTGTTGATGCTTTAAAAGGTTGCCAGCACCAGTGAAACCTCCCTCCAACAATCATGGCAAGTGAATGGCATGGCCTGTGAAAGACCATGTTCTTTCCCCCTACAATGCTGGTCGACTTCCATGTTTGTTGCAAGGGAAGATATTCTCATGTTTCTTCCATGTGCTTCCCGACGTGAACTTCCAAACCTCGTGACACACCAACATGAGTCCCGCCGTGTCCCGCGACCGTCAACAAAGAGCGACCGTGCCGGCCTACACACGTCCGAGCGCCCCCCTGCCGAGTGGCGTCTTCTCGCGGGAGTCCCGGTAGCACAAGCACGCCGCCGCCGTCTCCATTGCGCCGAGAGGAGGCGAGGAGCTCGGCGAGGGAGCTGTGAGTCCCCGGAAGGTTCCCAGGCGCCGAAAGAGTGGTCAGCAGCTGCGAAGACAGAGGGTGATGAGACGGCAGGGCCCTGCAAGTCTGAAAGTGAACATCTGATCCATGAGATCTGGATGAAAGGATGATGGATACAGAGGTAGAGGTAGTGACAAATCCATCTAAGATCATCTAAGAGTGAAACTCTACAACATGGTTGAGTCATGGCAGGACGAGCCCATTTTTGTACACGATGTTTTGAGGATTTTGGGGGTCTCAAAGCCCAAACTACCAGGAAAATACCTCTCGTGCCCAAACTACCCTTTAACTCTTGTGCCTTTGGCGACATCACCCCTGACCCGGGCGGTGAACCCCTCCGTGGGCAGGTCCCCCTCCGCAGATCGCTCTGTTTTGGACTCAAGCGACCTCAGCTGCGGATCTTTTTCGGCTCCGGCACATGTTCCATGGATGGATGTATTCTGCTTCAAGTTCATGAGGTCAAAATCAGCCAACAAAGGCTTGTAGAGGTGGCAAATGTATAGGGCCCAGGCCTTTCGGACTTTCATTGTTTTGGCTTCAGGATTCAAACTCCTAAAGAGGCCCAGTTCTGAACAACACATCATGCCATAAGAACAATGACCTCTTTTCTGTCGCGAACGCCCACCACCTCATTTCCTCTCCTCGCTCACCCCATGCCGCCACCTAACACAACCAGCTACTTCCCGCGCCACACGTGGTCTGGAACCCAGGCACGTTGGGCATCCGCTTCCGCTTCCCAGACTTCCCGAGCTGTGCACGGCGCTGGCTCAGCACCTTCCGCTTGAATGTGCCGCCAGGAACCCCCCGGCGGTGGCGCAGAGTGGGTGGCAAATGTTCAAAAAGAAGCAGATATATCCACCAACCGTCCATCACCTGTACAGAATCAACCAACGTGCTTCAGGCGAAAACAGAAGAACGTTTGAACCGTGGAGACGGAGGCAAAAACAGCACCGACCCTGACGAGATCGAATGAGATCGGAGAAAGCCACGGGGACACCTCTTGGCTCATCCTGCCTTCCTTTGCATCATTTTTCTGGCCTCCTCCACCTCCAACAGGCGTACACGATGGATGCCCCATCGGACCAATCGAGGCAGGCTTAGCCTCAGATCGGCTGAATCAAGAGCAAAGACTCACCTGCCTCAAGAGCAAGCACTACCATCACACACACATGAGAACAATTACACCAGCATAGACCATGCGTAAGCAACTAATTCTATAAAAACAGAAGCCAAGGGGGTTCAAGAAAACTCAGGCGCGACCTGTCTTGTGCATGGTCGACCTGTCTTAGGTTCTTTCCGGACACATCACAGAATTGCGTGTCGGTTGAGCGTTTTTTCAGAGCTTCGTTCGCAACGGAACATCACACCGCTTACACTTCATCCGTCCAAGGGGCCATGCTCCACGTAACCATGTTAGTTCCAGGGAGTGTAAATGACGACTGTTTGGAGAGGGGCAAGGAGCGACATGGAGCGACATAGAGGGGGAGAGAGGGTTCTCAGGGCAAGTGGCGCCGAGGAACGCCTCGGGGTGAAAGACCATTTTCCACGATATATACAAACAGGTGGTTCTTCCACTTCCATGTTAGTTCCAGGGGGAGTATGTAATTTGGAGACTGGAACCAGCCCCTGCAAATGATGCTTTTCGATGCGACAACATCGGGCCCTGTCCAAAACCCTGTCACAAGCCAGTGGGGACACCCCTTTTTGTGCCCGGTCACCTTCTTCGGACCTGCCACCAGTTGCCATCCGAGCGTCCACTCCATCTTCTCCGGTGCTTTGTTCGTCTCTCCCTGTTGCTCTCCCTGGCGTCATGCGGGTAATGGCGCCAGGATACCTTGGTTGACCTACTACCTGGAAGGTCTTTCGTTACATGGTGGACCAGGGCTCCAGGATGCCCCAGGTTCTTGACCAATCCCCAAACCAAACACCTCCTGCTAACACAGTTATAGAGAACCGGCATGCCATCATGTCATCCTTTTGCTCTTCGCTCTGCTTTTGAGGTTGAAGATGGTTGGAGGCCCCAAAAAAACCGCGGCCTGGCCTTCAGGAGCTGTTCGGCTGTGCGGAGCTCTCCTGAGACCGCTTGGGCCATCTGAGCATCTTCGGCATCCTCCACGCGCTGAAGGACTTGCCTCAGAAACGCCAAGCAGCCGGAAACGACCGAACTCAGGCAGAGATCGGGCTGAAATCGGACGGCTTTTTGTGGTGGAGCTGTTCTCGGAAACGAGATCGCCATGAGTTGTTCGGATGTTTGAGGGAAAGATAGGGTTTTAGGGCCTAGGGTTCTGAGTGCGTGGGTGATGTTCATCAAATGTGCTTCTTCGGGCAGTTATTCCGTATTTTGGGGTTTTCATCATGGTCCGCATCACACTCCTGAGGCATACCAACAGACATAGTTTGGACTCTTGGGACGCACATGTGGGCTACATGTCTCAATGTTGGGCACGGCCGCTCTGGTCATCAGCCGCGGGCGCTGGTCCTTTCAAAGGTCGTCTCCCAGCGAGCTATCCGACATATGAGCCATGCCAAAATCCTCTATGCTAAGCCTTTATACTAACAACATACGTTCGCACTAACAACATACTATCCGATACATGTTTCATGATGTTCATGATCAGTGTCTTGTGGATTTGGCAGCCAGTTAATGGCAAGATTCCTAAGATTTCCTAAGGAACGAAGCACCAGAAAGCACCAGAAAGCATATGGATTCCACCACAGCGACTCTGTCCGTGAGCTGAGCTGATTGGAGCTTTGGAGATCCACCCCGCTTTTCCAGCACGAAGGCTTCAGCCGTGGCTGGTAAAACCCAACGGTGTTGACTGTTGAGATGGGTGAACGGACACATCCAATGAAGGAGGAAACAATAAGTCAATAAGTCAACAAGTGCTGTATAATCAAAGTGAAGGTCCCCCAAAGCTTGTCTCTCAAGTCATTCCCGGATGCCTCTGTAAGACTTTTCTAAGCAAGCATTTAGCCTCCAACCTAATAGTGTTGGCCTCCAACCTAACAGCAATGGCCTCCAACCTAATAGCGATGGCCTCCAACCTACTAGCGATAGCCTCCAATCCAAGAGCGATCTACAAAGTAAAGGTCCTCCAAAGCGTGTCTCTCAAGTCATTCCCCGATGCCTTTGTTTGACTTCTAAAGCAAGCATTTACATGGCTCAAGTTTTTTCACTTGACTTCTAGTACGTCACCAGGTGGCTCGAACTCCGTCATGCTGGGTCTCAGCTCTTTCCTGAGAAGCCATGAACGTCACGTCGAGTCAAGTGTACCGAAACCACACACGCTTATGCACGCGTACAAGAACTTGCATGGCATTGCACAATTACACAGAGAATACTGGGTAGTGGAAAGGAAACTCTTTTGTGAAATCACGAAGGCCGGGGGGGGCATACATTTTCAGGGCCACACAATATATCATCATCTCTGACCTTTCGGCCATGGCTCACATGAGATGGACGGAGGAGCTGAGGAGAAGGCACAGGCACATCCATAGTCCGTAATGTATTCGCGGTTCACATCGCCAAATGGTACAGAATAATGTACGACAGTTCACACACCCTTTAAGCTTCAGTTGGGTTCATGGTAAGGGCTTGAAAAAGTGTTCCTGTAACTATATAAATCTGTTTCTCCACAACTTTCGAGAAAAAAACACTCAAGCTTTGAGAAGAACTGCTTCAGCATCAAACACTTTTTCCTAAAATCCACACCCAGCCATTCAGCTGATCTCTCTGGTGAGATAAGTTGGAAATACAAACTACAGAGTTCACTGAGGCCACTGAGGAACTCCCTGCAACCCTCCACCGACATTGGCACCAAGCCGCACGTGCTGCTTCGGTGAAGTCGCTTCTGCCGCAGCGGCAGCCTCCCCCTCCGGTGTCGCAGTGGACGGCACGGGTGACAAGTGAGGAAGAATTATTCACACATAAAAACTTGGAATGACAACTGCTAAGTTCATTTGAGGTCAGTTCACACAATATGTCATAGTAAGTCAGTTCATTTGAGGTCAATGTTTGCCATGACAACTGGCTAGATTCCATGCGAAGAATGGGGAGATTGGTCCTTTATCGGTCTTGAAAGGTACTCTGGCTCTGTGACTGGCCAGTCTGGCTGGAATTGAGGCCGAACAAACATACTGTAGATTGATGCAATAGTAACCCAGCATGGGTATTCAATTCCAAACTCGTCCCGATTTACATGAAACCTGAGAAAGAAGCTTGAGAAACATGCGTGAATGCCCCGTCAACCTCCATGCGAAACTGGCAAGTGTGACTTGGGTCACATGTCATCGAACCTCAAACTGACGTGCTATATCATGCCCTATGGCACATACCTTCTCAGAAGGTAATTGGACCCTCCAAGCCTACATAAATAGTCTCCAATCACTTTCTCAGAAGGTATGTGGATCCACAGGGATGCTATCTTGCTGCGCGTTTCCCTGCGCTCTCTCCGCACTTGCGCCCCCAGCACCTCCGGTTTCTGCATACTTTCTGCCGATTCCAAAGGGTCTGAGCATTGCTCCGTGGCCTGCCGTGTGGGCTGGGGCCATGGGGGCCCCACGCTGGACCTCGTGCCGTCGGGTGACGAAATGAAGGTGTTCGGCTGGACCGCATGGCCTGGAGTGCCATTCACGTCTTCCAACAAGTGGTGGTGTCTAGATCATTCTTCCCCCCGGACACGTACTTCACAAGCATGTCACATGTCACCTTCAGTTCCTGTCTTGCAGGTGGGTGTTTCGCAGCAGGGCCTCCTTGGGCTGGCAGGAGGTGAAAATCATACTCCGAATCCAAAGACCCAAAGGTCACCAAATATAATGTCAAGACCGGATTAATAAACCCCCCCAAGTCGGGAAAGGTCAACAAAACCAACAAATACCAACAAGGTCTAAGGTACCATCCATGAGGTCCACCTGCCCTGAATAATCTGCTAAAAAGGGAGTTGTAGTAGCAGTCGTCGTCGTAGTCGTAGTGGCAGTCGCAGTCGTAGAAGTCGTCGTCGTCGAGTAGCAGTAGTAGTAGCAGTAGTCATAGCAGACTAGTAGTAGTAGTAGTAGTCGTAGTAGTAGTAGTAGTAGCAGTAGCAGTAGCAGTAGCAGTAGGAGTAGTAGTAGTGGTGGTGGTAGTAGTTGTTGTAGTGGCAGAGTAGTAATGATAGTAGTAGTAGTAGTAGTAGTAGCAGCAAAGAAGAAGTAGTAGTAGTAGTCGTGGTGGTAGTGGTAGTGGTATTGGTAGTGGCAGTAGTAGTGGTAGTAGTAGCAAAGTAGTAGCAAAGTAGTAGCAAAGTAGTAGCAGTAGTAGTAGTAGTCGTCGTCGTAGCAGGAGCAGCAGCATTGACCTGGTTGTGTGGCTTGGATTAACTGGGGGGGGTTCTAGTACCCAAGTACCTTATTCATGGCAACATTAGCCATGCACTACAGTAATACCTTTAATTTGGACAATTTTCCGGGGCTTTGTGGGCTTGAATTAACCAGGATCGAGGGTTTATTATTCCTGACAAAAAAGAGCCAGAAGAGCGTGCCCAATCTCCACCCCCACCATGGTCGATCGCAAGTGGCTTCTCTTCCAAACTTCCAAGCCCATCCGAACCCCATGCCCAACCCATCATAACCCTCTAGTACTCCCTTCATGTCCCTTCGAAGGCTTTCTTCCGAGGCTCCCATCCGGCCTCCCGACCGATCCCCACAGCCTCGACCTCCTCACTCGACCTCCTCGCTACGCTCGTCCCATCCAACAAGGAGCGGACCTGCGTAGCTCGGCCGGTGCTTTTCGCCTCCAAAGGTCACCATACATGTAGGTTTTAAAAGGGGAGGTTCCTGATCCTCTCATGGATCCACTTCGGTGTTTCTTCCCACACCTGTGGTCAATTTCTTGCGGTTGTTCTTCCCCAAAAGGATTCTCGTACCTCACATGGGCGATCGAAGGCACTGCTACCTTTGAGCCAGCTAGACACTCTCCCGGCCCAAACTCTCCGTCATGACACTGGACGGCGTCCTCGGCGAGTCCCGGATCGAGTACAGGATCCATGTCACCAACTGAGACACCATATGATGAAAGACCAGGAAAGAATCTTGTGAAGTCGTCGGTGCCTGGCTTGATGGTTATAGTCATAACAGGAGCTCATTAGATTTTTGGGGGGACGAACTGTTTCTGGCATGGGCATTTTTTGGGGGGACTAGCGAAAGACTTCGGAATGTTAAAGATGCTAAAGTTTAAAAGGAACATTCATGCCTTTTGATTGATTCTAACGTGCGTTGCGACGTCACAAAATCACCGACATGTCGGTCTTCTGTCGATGTCCCAAGAACTCTTCTGCAGCTCGTCTATACTTCTTTGAGGTCAACGGTTGTGTTCATCCTCCGAAGATACGCCACTCCACTCATACTCCTTGGGACTCGAGTCACTCGAGTCATGACCAATCCATATACGTTTCTCATTTACTCGGATTTACACCCTGGAAGACTCACATGGACCATCATGGACCCTGAAAACCACTGGGTTGGTAGAGGGGAAAACCACTTGGACCCCGAAAAAAGAAGGACGGAGTGTACAGGGTCGTTCGTCTAGCACTTCGGTTTTCGTTTCGTGTACCCGGTGCTACGGATCGATGTGGCTTGTAATACCATTCCCAGACCAGCTGGTATGGGACAGCTGTCGACTAGAGCGTCCCAGCAGAATAAGCAGGAGCGAACGACCGTAGGTTTCGCCACACGGCTCCATCCCAGCCCCGCAACGTTGTTCCGGGGAACCCTCCCGCCTCCGCTGCGGTCCACACAGCCGAGGATACACTGTCTGGGCTGTGTAAGGAGCGGTGGAGGATGGTGGAGGTGGAGGTGCATACATAGATACCCTCCCAACAACCGTGGAAGATAGAAGAAGTCAACTTCGTCCACTTCCATATGCTTGTTGGAGAGAAGGTAGGTCGATGTCTCCGTGTGTATGTGTATGGCTGGAATATGCATCGGTGAGTCTGATTGCACCTGCTGCTGGAGTGAACAAATGGATGCAAAGTGTCAACCTAGCGCTTCCAAGGGGTGCCCTGTCTGGAGACCTGTAAGTAGTGTGGAGATATCCATTGGTGAACCCTTGGAAGCAGCTGGACCCTTACATTTTCTTGAGAGTTAGGTTGGAGGCCTGGCCGCAAAATAGTTTGAAATCGGACCTGCCTCAGGTACGTGCGGCTGGGATCGTTAAGGGCTCGGTGGGTGACCGATCGAGACTTGCCTCCCATCGCGTTCCAAGAGGCCACAGCAACTCTCTTCCCCGCTTGAAACATCGCGGTCTGGCCACCAACATACACTCCCCGGAAATCACATGGTTACGTGGACAACGGCCTCTTGGAAGACAAGTTTCCTCTACAAACAGGGGTTTGTCCACTCCCGGGGGGGCGTGAACCGTAGCGAAATCAAAGATACATCTCTGAACCATTCTGAATCTAATTACTGTCTGCCCTACCTGGCCCTACCTACTATACCTACATTCATCTACCTTCAACAAACCCAGTTGGAAAATGGCCGTTGGAAAAAACACCGGGCACTCCAAGCTCACAGCTGGGGGCACAGCCGGGCACAGCTCCACTTCCCATACAGCTTGTCTTTGGCAGCTTTCCCGGCTCACCTTGGTGTAAGCTCTTCAACTTCTCCATGTTGAAGCGGCCCTGGTCTACCACCACGTGGTCCAACTCGCGCTTCCTGGGCTCGACTTCCACCCCAATGGTCCCACCAAGAAATCAATGCCAACGCCAATAAGCCAAACAAACTCAGGATGGAGAACCAAAAAGAAAACTGTGGCGGAGCACTTTTCTGGATGGAGACTTGCGACGGACTTTCTATTCAGGAGTTACGAGTCAATCCTCCAGCCTCTGATGGCTGAGGTGGATGTTCTTCCAGCCTCTGATGGCTGAGGTGGATGTAAGACATGCACAGGCACAAGATTGGCAAAAGCAGCAGCTTTCGGAAAATCCAATCCAGTGATGTAATCGTCTTGATCATCAACTGAAATGAGCCTTGATGAAGTCTGCAATGGTGTCAAGGAGGGCAGCTCTGCTGGATGCAGGACCTGCTCTGCCCGTCTTTGCTGCCAGCATTTAGCTCTGTGCATAAGGAATCAATGGATCCTTCTTGCTAGCGACAACCAGGCAAGGGACTTGGTTCTCCTCCAGCATGGACTGGTGCTGATCATGTGACTTTGCAGCACTTGCCCAAGCCAGTGTTGAGAGGGGATTCATTCCTCCGTAACTAACTGTCCATCCATCCCTTCTCGACCTCGAACATTGACATGAACGAAGGCAACAAACCCTTCACTCAGTCTTCCTTGGTTGACTCGGGATTGACTCGGGAAAAACCGCCGCCGTTGCTGCCATCACCGCCGCCGCTGTGCAGGGTTCTCAGTTCGGTGCCTGCGATGGAACCACTTCGTATGAACTGCTGCAAATCACAGCGGAAGTGAGACGATCCTTCAACCGACACATCATGACTTGTGACTTGTGCAATGACACCTCCAGTACTGAAGCCGATGATACTCGCTTTGGCAATGTGGTGATCCATGATGGCTGCTACATCGACAGCTAAATCGTACCAATTGTAGGGAGCATAGAAGTCTGAGTCCAAGTTGATGCCTCCAGTGGCAGAAAAGACTTTTCCCATTTCCTCCGTCAGATTCTTGTCTTCAGAAACCATTGCCTCCATCTGCTTAAAGACCTCGGTGCCGCACACATCACGCGGGTTGTAGTTGACAACAAGTAGGTCACGAGCGACCAGGCCCTGGACGATGGGCATCATCATGTTCATAGAAGCACCCGTGCCCACGATGGAAAATCACGCAGGGCTTGGCTGGATCACCGTGGGGGCGAACGTCGAACTTCAAGGCCTTGCTGTTCTTCATGATCGCGGATGCCGCCATGGCGGCCATGCAGCTGTCCTGAAGCTGCTCTAAGCTTGAGCCTCCCGTGTGCAGCGTGAGACTTCAGGAAGTCCAAGTTCTTGGGCTTCATTTGCCAAGTGCCCATAGGCAACCTCTTGCAAAACGTGGACTGAAAAAGCTGGACTCATCGACTCAAAAGAACATCACTCAACCCACGCACGTTGCAAACAAGCATCTGCAACTGCCTTTGCCAAATGTTCTCCTGCACGGGCAGTGTGGTGTCCAACTTCATAAAGGGGCGACTTGTTGAATTATGTGTATATCTATCTATCTATCTATCTATCTATCTATCTATCTATCTATCTATCTATCTATGTCTGTCTGTCTGTCTGTCTGTCTGCCTGCCTGCCTGCCTGCCTGCCTGCCTGCCTGCCTGCCTGGCTGGCTGGCTGGCTGTCTGTCTGTCTGTCTGCCTGTCTGTCTGTCGAGTCTATCTATCTGGCTATCTATCTATCTATGATCTAGCTGCAAGATCCTGGGGTCACCGCTAAATACATGCCGAAAGAATGCCGAATGCCAAATGATCTGGTGACTCACCTGCTAAATCAATGTGGAGCCTTCTTCCTGACATCATGCTTCTGCTCCCCAGCCTCACATGTGTACGTATTATGTGCATCTATACTGTGCATCTATATATTTATACATGTTATACATTGTTAGTATATATATATATACATATTCTGTGTGTGCGTGTGTTTGTATTGAACATCTTCAATCTTTCAAGTTCCCTGCTTCCAGCGCAGGCTTGCACCAGCCTGCAATGTCCAAAATCAGCGCAGCGCTTCTTGAACAATTTTGCCACCCTTGGCTTTGCCAAGTGCACGGCTGTTTGTGCCCCTCTGCTTTTCAAAGGCACATGCGGCACTAAGATACATTAAGTAGAAGCTGGCCACAGAGTGGCCACAAAGAGGATAGTGAATCTAAGTGCCAAAACTGGCAGAAGAAGTGAAGCATTGCTGATAGAAGCATCGCTCCCGGAGGCAGAAAAACGTTCGACCTTGAAACACAGACACTCTCGCTCTAGATCATCCATACAAGCACCGCATTCCCCCACTTCAGGCTGACTGGTGGTCGACTCCCCGTCCAAACGTCTCCCGGCCGTTGAAGCACGATGCCAAACTGCTCGGGTGGACGTTGCTGGGCCTTGGCTTGCATCAATGCAAAGCTCACACTGGCCAGTTTCGACCTCGTATTCAATCCCGCCGCAGGCATAGCAGCGATCTGCACACTGTTGCAAGCTCAAGCCCTCAGCCGCCGTAGTGACAGACTTTGATTTGCAGCTAAAACCATCAAAAGCTTTGACCCAACACTCGCACATCTGAGCAGTCTGTCCACAAAGGTTCGGGTCACACGTGCCATCCAAACCTCCGTCACAGCTACTAGTATCTCCACTCATCCATATCTCTGCACAGCCCCACTGCGGACAAGCACAGCACTTGTCTTGGTCGGTCATTTTCCAATGTAGACCAACATATTTGCAAAAGCCATCGGGCATGTCATAGTTGTACACTTTGCCCGTGCACACCGAATCGCAGGTCTTGTCTCCGCACCAGCATCTGCTGTGGGCACAGCTAAGCAAAGTCAAACAACAAACTGAGCATATGCGCCTTGAATGTCCCATTCTGATGAGTATGCGTGCCACTTTGGGCGAACGGATGTTGCCTAAGCATACGGAATGCCTATAAGCCAGACTCGATTGATGCCGGGAAATGCTCCTGACAACGTTTCGAAACATATGCGACATATACGGCCTGGCAGGCCCCGTAATGCCTGGCCACGCGTTCCAACCGGGTCGGAAGCCGAAGCCGGGTCCGGCCATGCCGCCACGAGAAACAACAAATGTCGACCTAGTAAACCAAAACAGGATCCTACACAACGCCAGCTCTCATCTTGTCCGTTTCAAGATCCACTTTGTATCCACTTCGTTTGTATAGACTGTTGGTTGCTTGGAATCCCCCGACTGGAGACATAGAATCCCCCAACTGGAGACCCAGCGGGGTTTGACCTGATCAACCGTCCACCTTCGGTTTCAACCGCCAACCGCTTCATTGGTCGTTCACTCCTCGACCGTATGCTCACCTGGGAGGGAAGACTCGGCACGGGTCAGGCACGGAATCCGAAAGCGATGCAAACAAACGTCGGTGGAACATGAGCTGATCTTTGGGCGAATCCATCACATATATATATATTGGGTTTTACACCTATATATTCATATATATATAATATAGATTAGATCATATAGCTGCATGATCACTTTGCATGGTCATATGTCCACCTAAAGATCCTTAAGGCACCAGAAACCTGGATTAAAAACACTGCACTGGAATCTTCCACACATCCGGGTCACTGATCAAGCGGTAGATGTGGACCTCGCGCGTCTGCCCGATGCGGTGCGCACGGTCCGTGGCCTGACCGCGCGCTTCGCGCGTTTGGCCGTGGGTCGGCCAGGGCCCAATGTGGTGGTTCAGGGGCAGGTGAGCAACCCGCAGTGAGCCAGCCGTTCCACTGAGTGATGTCTCGACAAGCCAATACTATACCCGAATCCGGTCGAACGAACTGGGCTACGACGTCCCAAAACGCTTCCATGTCTTTCGTCCTTGCATGTCCTTGCACAAGATAATCCCAAAACAACACCCTCCAGAAGTCTAGAGGTCCAAAAGGACCGGTTCTTGCACCACCGGGTCACCATTTTCTATGCAAAACAGAAACCCAGGGAATCGTCACGAAATGGGCACATCCGTGGCACCGGGGCCGTCGTTTCACTCAACGACCCTCTCTCCCCTACAGCGGACAATCCCCCGCTTCGTTCGGCCTGGCGGTCCATAGCAGGATTCCAATCCGAGTCGTAGAAAATGACCTGCCACAGAGCTGTTTGGCCCTGAAGGCGAAGTCCAGGGGGTGGAAAAGGTGGGAAAGGACTGTCTTTTTTTTTCCAGGTCCTCCTTCCAACAGGTCTCCGAAATGGAGGGTTGTTAGGCCAGCCACAGGTTTCAATTGGTGACCGGTTGGAGGTGCTGGTATGCTGTCTTGCTTGTATAAATATACACAACCCAGTTTCTAGCTCTCAACATGGAATTCCGGTGGCTCAGAGTCTCCCATCCACATGTGTTTCGGCGAAGGTCCTCTTCGATCGGTAAACCCCCCAAACCCCGCGTGGGTCTTCGCACGTGCGGCAGAGGCACCACATTGGCACTTGCGAGGTTGATGCCAACTCCGCCTGCCTAAGCGTGGCACCAACTCTGGGCACGGCAACTGGGAAGGTTGATGGATGCCTTGGTGCATGTGTCCGGTAAACTTTTGCTTGATTTTCCAACCAATGAATGGCCTCAGAAATCACACACATGTACCACTGGCAAGGCCAAGGTGCCTTTTTCCGCCGCGTCTGCGTCAGCGATGACAAATCAACTTAATGGTCAGTTGAAGTGGAGGTCGGCCAGCAAGCTGGCCAACTGCGAGCCCATCCAAGCAGGCTCCAAACACTCAACGATGGAGCCAAGTCAATCGAGTTCCTCGTCCGAAAGAGATTCGACGGAAACTCCCTCGACCATCCTCGACTGAGCCACACGAGTGGAGCAAATGAAGAGGAAGATGCGCTCCTTGGATCGGCTGAGCATGGCTGAGCTAGCTCCTTGGTGGAGCGACCTCTTGAGATTCGCCGCACCATGGAGTCAACGAGTGTGCCAAAATGTTGACAACAGAGCTTGGCAGGCAGTGCAGGGCCCCCCCCATCTTGAAACCAAATGTTCCTAACCCCCGAATGATTCTATAATGACTGGAGACTGGCGAGGTCTAGGACGTGGCCACTGGCGAGGAGACTCCTATGACTCTGAAATCGTCCTTCAAGATCTTTAAGACTCTTGGACGTAGGATGACGTTGCCGAGGTGGTCTTGAGCACTTCGCGGAATCTTCTCCCCACTTCTCCCCCGCCCCAAGCCCCCCAGCGTGCCAACAAGCTTGTAAGCTGAGGCCCCGCGAGAGCAAAAGAAAAAGACCTCCGCCGTTTTCGTCCAAGCGTCGTCTTCATTGAAGCGATCCACCAGCTCCTGCCGCATCTCCACCTCCACAGTCGTCAATGCGTGTCCCGTGTTCGTCTCGTGAATTCTGGGCCCCGGCCGTTTCTCGACGGCACCAGCCAACAGAGGACCCTAGTTCGACTCTAGACCCCAGTTTTCGGCACCGCCAGGTTGACGGGTCCGGCTTACGGTCACGTCACCTCTGGAGGGCTAGTTCGTGGTGCTTCGTGGCACAGTCATCATGCTACACGTCGTCCGGAGTAAGCAGTCACGACCAGAGCTCGAGGGCTTGGGTCTTTGACAAACACGTCGTCACCGAGTTCCATCCATCATCTTCAGGTGTTCGGTGGTGTGGCGGGGCCCTCCATCCGCGTGGTCCGAAGGAAGCGGGGTCCTATACATCTTCAACCGCATTCCAGGACATTTGCTGCCAAGTTCAGTGAATTTCAGGCCCTTGCTGGGTCCTAGTTGTGGGCCACAACTATCTGCGTCGGATCTCCTCTCGCTTCACCTTGGTGGGATTCCTTGCACCAATTAAACCACTTAAACGAGATACTCGCCTTCTGTACAGCATACCAACCAATAGCCGTCCAATGGACAAGGGATTGGCACCCGGCGCGGGATGGGGAGCGAATTCATCAAGAGCACTATACCAGGACCCGACTCTACAGATCTCCAACCTGGTGGCTTTTGCAGGCTTAAAAGTCGCAGGTGGTGACCTGTGAAGTCGGGTGCTGGTATGAACTGCATTGAACTGAGAAAGCTCAAAGGGAGCCTTAAAAAAGGGCGACTGGCGGTGCCGTGCTCGGTCCACGAGATCTGCGTCTCATCACACTCCCACCTTCACCATGCCGTCCAAGCGCACATAGATGTAGCGGTGGTGGCACACCTGGAGGACATCCAAGCGAAAGGACATCCAAGGACCAAAGTGAAGCAGTCTAAACGTCTCGAATTACATTAGACAACCAATAACATCCAATAACCAGTCGGTAAAAAGATTCTCCATCACCAACCTCACCATACCATCCTCCTCCACGGTTACTTTGGTGACTGGTACGGTCATGGGAGCTACCCAACACCATCCCAACACCCTGTCTGGAGCACCTGTCTGGGTGTCCTGTTTGGAGATCCCCGTGGTCCAAACCGGACCGGCAGGGAGTCGGACGCGTCCAACAGACGAAGCCTGTGGCTGGGCCCCCCCAAGTCAAAGATTGCCGGTTGACATCAGTGACAACTCCAGCTAGCTGTTCCAATGTTCCAAGTCAAGCCGCAAAGTTTTCCAGCACATCCAGCATCTTGATGAACTGTGTGAAGATGATACCTGGGCAATGAAGAATTTAGGAAAAGCCGCGGCCGGCGTTTCCAACGATTGATGCCTATAGTCTTCTGCAACTATGAATGCAACCCCCGGCATGATGTCCACATCTGTCCCAGACGCTCCATGTATGCCATAAATTCAATTCATTTCTCCACTGGGGGTGGTGTCAGAGGCGTCATTCACCGCGCTCCGCTCAACGGCCTCGCTAGGCGCTCCAGCACACCGGTCCACACAAGACATGCTAGGCGCCCCAACGTGCCCCACAGAAAGGAATTCTTTGGGGAGCACCTAAAGAACTTGTAAAATATGTGTTTTTATAGTCTTGGACCCCCAGGGTATAGGTTTCAGTGAACGAAGAAGAAGAAGAAGAAGAAGATGATGAAGATGAAGATGAAGATGAAGATGAAAGAAGAAGAAGATGAAAGAAGAAGAAGAAGAAGAAGAAAAAATAAAAATAAAAAAAAGAACAACAACAACAACAACAACACTACGACACCCATCGCTTTATAGCTCCAAGGGGCATTTATCTCCGCGCTCTTTGAACCGATGCAACATTGAGGCCTGCAACTTCCGGGCCGCTCGAAGGTTCTGTCCGACGAGTAGCAGGAATCTCTGAAAGACTGCCTGTCTGTAGCTTTCCAGGCTGGCTTCTGACACCAAAATCTCCAAAATCTACCTAATTAAACACCCTGAAGGACTTGACTAGGTCCACTTATATGATGTCCACTTGAAACTGGTTGGGTTGGAACTCTTTTCTCCTCACAACTTTGACTTTCTTGCCAGAATCACCTAAGTTCCCGACCAGTGCTCTCAACTTCCCGCAGTCCGACTCCAAATATTGCCTCATGCGACTGGTCGTCTTTCGTGTCAAGTGGGGGTGGTCTTAAGGATTGTGACGAAAGAATATCGGTGAACCTGCACTTAAGCAAAGACTCAATGAGCAGCATCTGGCGGATGGAATGATTTGGAGTGTCTTTGTCTTCGTTGTTAACGTTCTTGTTGCTGTTGTTAGAAACTGGCATGGCTTGACACAGCACATCAGCTTGACTCAGTTGTCTTCACAGCCATCAGCCCTCAATTCATCACCCCGGCCCGGCAGCTCTCCGATGGCCATCTCTCGCCGGGGGACTTCTCAGGCAAATGGCATCGCAGGGGAGCCTCGAGGGCCTAGAGCCGGGTAGCTGGCGATGGTGTGGCTGGCGGACTCTGATGAACACATCGCATGATTACGTGCATGGCATGGTCCCAAAAGGAAGACTACACCTGTCCCTTACAAAGAGCCCCAAATAGATAGAAAAGTACATCATGCACTTATTTATTGGGCACCACGGCAGGCAGGCGCCACTGCGCTGCTCCGCCCGTGCGCTGCTCCGCCCCAGCGTCCCAGCCATGAGGGGCCCGGCATCGGTCAAAGGGTCACCCAAAGCACCTCGGACCGGGTCCGCGCGCTATCCGCGCGTTTGGAAGCAGTGACGAGCGTGGGTGATAATTCTATCATCCATGGAAGGGCCTGAGGACCATCACTGATCCATGGCATGGGAACAAAAGCCGTAAAGGCCGTCCATCAATGAATCAACATGAACCATCCCTGTGTGATCCTGTCGTTGGGATTCCGCCATGGCATGTGATGCCCAGGCGCTGCGAAGGGCTTGGCAGGCATCCCCGGTGCTCTGGTGCCACTGCTCCATGGTCGGTCTCTGTCCTCGGCTCAGGTGGAGACGTAGCCTGCGCCAGGGCGGCTGGGGTGGGCATTACTTCAAATCGATGACCGACAAATTGCCATGGCCACTACCACTGCCTGTGGGCTCTCTACTAAACACTCAAGACGCCAAAGACTTGCTCACACTTTCTCCACAACAAACCTCTTTCAAGCGCCTCTCTTTCATGGAACCCGGTCTTTGACCTCTACATCTTCTAGCATTTCATTTTACGTTCCAAACGGTACCCACCCGTTCCAGCGCCTCACGTGGGGCGGGGCTTCGCTGGGGAGCTCCGTCGGGAAGGCCGGAAGGGAGGCCACCTGGAGGCTTGCAGGACTTGGAGGGACCTGGGCTTTGCTCACTTCCAAGACCATCCATGCACGGAATTGTGAGCCAAAAGTTCAAATGTATGTAAGTATATAACTGTTCAATACATGGATAGTTTTTCGCTGTGCCGCCGCCCACACGGTCCCCTACACCAGGGTGGGATTTGAAGTGGTGACCTTCCAATAGGTGTCCTGTCTGGAGACGTATATGAGTGCATAGGGTGGAAAGAACCCTTCCTTTCTTCCTTTGGCCTTGGACGAGGGGCCGAGGGGACGAGGGGCCGAGGGGACGAGGGAAGTCCCGCTTCTCAAGCTTTTACAGAGAAATCTCGTTCATCAACGACTCTGCCTTCAATGAACGCCGAGCATTAAGCCGGACAAATCACTGCCATTCACAGCACCAGCGGTTTTTTCAAAAGTTTCTTTTTGAGGTCGGGGGCCACATCATGCCCTTGTGTCATAAAACCTGTGGCAATTCAGCTGACCCTTGGGTTGTGGAGCCTCAGCACCGCTCAGCGTGTCAAAATGGCCATGAGCTGTGAAGCCCTTTCAGTCATGGAGCAGTGTTTCGGGAAAATGGAAGCTCCAAAAGCTCGAGGATGGCATCTGTTGGCGTGTATTGCACATCTTTGTTGCCCCACTGCTTGGACACAGCGAAAGTGCAGCTTCTCCAAATTCGCGCCTCTCAGGTCTTTTTGCATATCGAGTCTCAGGTCTTTGGACTAGTCTCTGTTAAAAGGCCGGCTGTGGGGCTCGCATGACTGCGAGCAGCAAGTCATGCAAACCGCGTGCGTGCCACGCCCGGCGTGGAAAAGCCTCACCGGCGGCACCGATCTTGGTGGTCCCAGTATTTTAGGTCCACGTGGTGGCCACGCTGAGGGGAAGATTTGGCGGGACAAGTGCCAAGCGTGGGCCAAAGCGTCAAGTTGACGTCAAGCTATATATGGTAGTATATATATATATATATAATTGGCATCCATGGAACTTCCCTTGAACCCTGGCGGGGCATCGCGCGCGCTAAGGTTCGATTTCTGCAGGCCATATCAAGTTGTGCAAGGTGCATCTTGCCTCAACAAGGAGCAAGGACGCTACTAGCTAGGGGCTCCTGGCCGTACTACTAGGAACAAGAAGCTACTAGGGGCTCCTGGCCTTACGGACGCTACTAGGGATACATCTTGCCTCAACAAGTGCATTCTTTCGCCATGGAAACGCCCAAACGCTTGGAGGAAAAACATCAGAGGCTCGCTGCAAAGACCTTAAAGATCAAACCACCAGTGGTGACCACGAGAACTAGCTGGGTAGCTGTACACAAAAAGGACTCCTCATTACACCCCCTTGGCAGGAATGCATGAACATGACATGACAACCCTTCGGCTCTTTCGGCAGAATATGCCTGGTGATAGCTGGGTCCTTCCTAGAGAGGGGTGAGGAACAGGATCGGAGAACCCACTGGGTCCTTCCTTCCAAAAGCCCTGCTACCCCGGTACTGAACATGCCAGTTTTGACGACACAACATGGCTGCGGCATGCACACCTCAACCCACCACAACACACCCACACCGGGGTGCAATAGGGAGTTACAAAAAGGACACCTCTATATATAATATGACCTAAATCAAAAGAGGCCCTGCCATCTCCTCACCCACCGAGATGCTGGGATCATCGTCTGCAAATGTCACAATGTCAGCGCAGCTATCACATATGAATCGTATCATGAGCTATCAGCGTCATACTGCCAAGTAAAATTACACTAGACTAATACCAATACCAGGCTGACCAGGGAAGGGAGCTCGCATCATATCTACAAGATCTTCTCAGCCACTACGGGATGATGATCCTGGCGAAATGCTAGGGTGGCCAAGTCGGAAGCTCAAGCTTCCATGCTCAGCCCAGGTGGTCGAGTTTCCTCACGTGCGCTTGCTCAGGGAATAGTTCTCACGATGGAGCTTCGCAAAAGCCAAGGCGGCGACCGAGAAGACCTCACTGCAGTTGTGAGACTGCTCATGCCCAAACAAAGGACAAAGGCCAAAGGAAAAGCGGGAAAGGGCTCAACCCACACTTGGAGTAGATCGTCGCCGAGTCGCGGGCGTGAGCACCACGACAGGGTGATCCAACATGCTACGCTGTCGCCCTGCCTTCTTCCCTTGCGCCCGGTCCATCCATGTGACCTTAGTCGTCACACTGCTGGGCCCCAAGAAATCCACATCAAACATCCCCCAGCGGAGATTCGAAATGGCTGAAGTCGCCCAAAATGGCCATGCACGTACTGCCCACTGCCAACGCGAGCCCTTTACACTTCCAAGTGGCCAAACAAACTGCTGATGTTGGCTCTCCCTAGTATGCCCGTGATAGGTATAAACATCTGTCTATATTTTAAGTCTCCTTTGCTAGCTTCTCACATGCTCTCACACACCGTGGAAACAGGTGCCAACGCACTCTCCATGGTTTCCAAGCCACTTGCGATGCCAGGATCTCCGTCGCACGGCCTACCTTTCGGGTGCCGAACACGCAGTCCCACAAGCCGCCCATGGAGGTGAAGGTGTAGTTGCTGCCCTTATGACCTCGGGCGAGGCGTTGCCGCACCGGTCACGCCGTCTGGGTCGAAGACGATGACCCCGACGAAGGCATGGGACAAAGGTGCCGAAGGTCGGGGGTTCAACACGAAGACCTTGATCTATTGTGACTATAGAGCTCACCAAAGAGCCAGGCTTTAAAAGAAGAAGCACGCAATTCCAGCCTAAAATCAGAGCGTTCACGGCTCAAAGACTCAAAGAAGAGTTTGTCGACCACTGGTCGGCGGGTCGAACAAGAACTCCCTTGGCTTTATCTTCACTTCCAGGCTTAAAAAAGAAGAAACTTCATGTACATGCATGAACGCTTCTCTTTTTGTATCGTTTTGCTCATAAAGACCTGGAAGTCCTGGGAAGTCTGGGAAGCCCCATCTGGATGCATCGGAGAAAAAAAAAACACATCATGATGACGTTGGAAGACCCATGTTGGTTGGTCTGCCTGACCCTCAGATTGCCAGCATCACCCCCGAGGAATTATGCAAAGTATGTTAGGAATGCCCTGTCCAATGATTCAAAGGTGTCTTGTTCCAAGGGCGACCTGCTGTTGATGGGCGCACCCTAGACAAGACCCCTCCCTATAGTACTTAGCCTGGTGACCTGGTGTTTCTCAATCAATTCTACACATATGTTGAACTGATTTGAACTGTCTGTGTTGGTGCCAAGCCGTCTCAAAAACAACATAAAACAACCACATCCTGCCCCCCCCTCCTCGCTCATCCTTTCCTTCGCTGTCCAAGGGGGGCCTTCATGGTGCCAGTCGTGGTGATGAGGCATCTGAGCAAAGGGCAGAAACCTCTGCATCTGGTGTGCCAAGTTGAAGCCGCAGCTCACGCCTAGAACGGTGAACATGGAAAAAAAAACACGTAAAAAGGAACCGGTCGCTGTGTTCTCACCGCCCCGGATATCTTCTGGTCGCAATGGGCATGCCGGGCTATGTGGTATGTAAAATGATGGAAAGAGCATGGCGTATGGGATGTGGTACGTACCCATTGTTTCCCAAAGAAAGACTCACCGCACATCGCATTTTTTGGGGAGGGGAGTTGTGTTCTTTCGGCTACTAGTTACTAGTGAGGCTCGCTGGACGAACTTGTGACCAGGATTGTCGCTTTCCTTACCGGAAAGCGTGATGCAGCTGAAACTTCACGTAGAGTAGAAGTACAGCAAAACCCTGCAATCATGCATTAACCAAACTACAGTAGTACATTGAGAATTTCTCGAAAATATTCACAAACCAAAATGTTCCTGCATGCCCCCCCCAAAGTGAACTAAATAACTATTCTGTATGTGGCAGGTTTCATCTCATCAACTGTTCTCCTGTTCTCCCGATATTGTTCCTATGATTCTCTTCGGCCTGAATGCTTCTCCAGGCTCTCAAAGATCCGGAACAAGTGTGAGAGCCAGAAGCTGCCCCGGTCCAGTGGGAGCAGCACCTGTGCACAAAAGTGCCCGATCACCGCGTTCCTGGCGTGCTGAAGGACCAGGACCCTTGTTCTTTTACGGCATCGAGATCCGACGGGACATCCCGGGCCCGGGGTGGCTTTGGGATGTGCATGGAGGATGTCCTTCCAGGCCACCTCAGGGTGTGACATCACACTCTGCCTCATCTGCCCCCCCCCCCGCAGAATCCGGACGAACTCATGGAACTTCACCACCTCGGAACCTGGTCCAGTCACCTGCTGGACGAAGTGCTTGCTTGAGAACTTGAGGGGCCGGCCACAGGATGGCAATTGCATGCCTCCAGACCATGTCAAATTGCCTTCTGTGTGCTGAAATGACCTACCGACTTTAACAGTGCCAAGCGTCCCCAGGTTGTCCAACCAATGGTCGTCGTAGGTGTTCCGCGACAAGGGGTGCTTGGCCCAATGGTGGTAGGAGTGAATCTTGTCCCAAAGCCAGGGCACCACATGCAAGGCACGGTGCCTCCATGCCAAAGACACAAAGATCGATCAAGTCGGGGTCTCATTGGATTTGGATGGCCAATCTCACGGGACTATTCATGGAACACACCCACAGTCGTTCTCTTGAAGGGACCTTTTGGCGAGCGGTCACCATCTAACCCGGGTGCAGTCGATCCAACTGCCTTCGTCCCCGGCTATTCAGGAGCCTAAGTCCTGTTTACACAGCTCTTGCCGGCCTCATGGTTTCAAGCTTCCATGGTGAATCATTCAGAGAAAGGTGGGAACATCCTGAATCCTTGGGCCAGGCGGCATCCAATACATGCCAAAGGAGAGCAAGTAGTGATTCCCTACCAGCCGCAAAGCACGCTGGTGCAAGGGTGCAACGACAGCTTGGGCCGGGTAGTAGCCAGGGATGGCATAGTAGAGACCAACGTTGAATGCAAACTGGCTGAGCAGTGTAAGCCTGCGGCGGGGGAGGGTTTTCGTTCCCACGCATCCGTCCCCAAACGCTTCTAGGTCGTTGCCGAGTCTGCTGAGAAGAACTTGGTATAGAGGCATGTCAGTCAGTCCAAACATACCAACAAAGGTTGAGGGATCCTATAGACTATCCCATAGGTCTCCCAGTAGGGTGCTATAAGGTCACTTAACTTCTCTTGGCATCTTGCTCAACAGGCTTGAAATTAACAGCTGTGATCGATGCCCGTCATTCAGCTGCTATGATCGATGCCCTTGGACTTACACGGCCAAGCATTTGCCCAATGGACTGGTCCGAACAGGCAATTGCTTGGCTAGTGAGAAAACTCGAAAATGGATTTAAAGTGGACTCTTTCATTTCACCGTTCTTGAATCAAAACTGATCAGCACTGACGGAGTGAGGCTTTGGATCTCCAAGAACCTTTCGAACATGCCATGTTTCGGTATGGCTTGCACTCGTACCCCGAAGCACTGAAACGCAGCAACGGTCAACTGCCTCCCAACCACTTGGCCCGTTGGCCGAGCCTATCATGGTAGATGATGGTCTGCAACTCCATCATGTCGCGGCCACACAAATCCTTCCCGTCCCCCGTCGCACGGATTCACGACCTCACGTTGGTACTCAACACGAGCCCCTCTGAGCACATTGTTCTTGGATTTGCTGTCCAGGAAGATTGGGAAAAAAAACAACAATATTCTGCGGAGGAGAGTTTGGCCATATGGAAACTAAAAAATCACCTTAAGTAAGCGAAACCAGGTGTTTAAATGTTTGATTATAAGAACATTAATACATAATTCATCACAATTCCATATGTCCTTAAATAACTTAAAACATAGTTTGAAGAATAGATACTTTAAATTCTAAATCAGGTTGTGTAGCCCATTTTCATCAATCCAAGCCGCAAGGAAAAATGTCCTCCCACGTGTTTGATTGGCTCGATCGCCCATACAACACCCCTTAGAAGCGAAGGCTGCTCATACAACCCACGTCCCGCATTTGGTGCGTCATGGATGCACACCCGTCTCGCCCCCCCCCCTCCTTCTTATTCTTCAGCGCGTGATCCCGAGAGGGCTGCGTCCGGAACTCCGGGAAGCTGAAGAAGATCGCCTCAAAGCAAAGACGCCAAAAGCGATCAGGGTCGTGGCGCCCCTCTTCATGTTTTTGGCCCCAAGACTTAATGTCAACATAGGATTAATGAACCGCCCCTATTAATCAAGCCCAGCTGCCCCAGAAAAGTTAAAATATAGTTTACGATTGTAATTATATGTAATTATTTATTGCTGTGTTATTTTCTTTTTAGCTAGTATCCAATACTATTTGGTCCATGGCTCCCTGATCAATCCTATTTGATCTCTTATCAAACTTGTGCCAATACACTCAGACCATTTATGGTTCTCATGGTTCAAACTCTTATGATTCCCACAGAATCTCATCAACCATCATCCATCATCAGGTCCAGGTCCTCATCTCATCATCGATCATCAGGTCATCACCTTTATTAGGGGGATGTGGTCCTCCAATACCTCCAATCTCAGACCTTGTTGACCTTGTTGACCTTGAAGGGGGGGCCGTTGACTAATCGGACGTCGACATGACTGAAGACTTGAGACTTCAGACGGGCGGTGGCTGGGATGGATTGGAAGTCCAGCGCCTCCAAGTAGGTGTTGTAGATGCGGGTCACCACCGCCTGTGCCGAGTGCCCCCGTGCCGTTCCCGTCCGGGCCTCTCCCCGATGAAACCCTCGAGGGCGACCACAAGCACGGGGGGCGAACAATGACTGAAGCTCTAGATGCCCTCCGTGGGTCTTGTGCTTATCCTCAGTGTTTCAACCTTCATGTACATCAGTCGCTTTCAGTAGGAAGAAAACTTCTGCAATCTTAACACCCAGCCTTTTAATTAGGAGGTTTTGGGACTTTGGAGAGCCGAGTTGCATATACTGTGTTATAGTTACTTCCACCACTACTTCCACCACCTGTCTCTCTCTCTCTAACGTCCCCGTCCTCGCCTTGGTACACAGAAAGGCGGTCAACTCTTTCAAGCTCCAGGAGCCTTCCACGTTCACCTTCTCCTCAGGTCGCACGCACTGCTCAGTGCCGAAGCTGCTGGAACCATCTCTCAAGTCTCTCGGGCCGGGGGCGGTTTTGGTCCCCGGCTCCAGCGATGGATCCAGGCGTTCCCTGCCCTCCCAAAGCCACCGAGCACAGAGACCACCGGTTCCGACCCCGAAGCCGCCGGGTGGCGGGCGGCAGCCAGGCGGCAAAGGCCGCCAAGCCGCCGAGGGTGATGAGCTCCAGCAGAGTTAGGGACAGGTCGCCGCTCAGCAGCCTGAGAGCGCAGTCCAGGTCGAGCTGAGCGCATGCGAACGCGCGGGAGGACGGGCAAAGGACGTGACTGGCTAACACTTGACTTTCATAGAATAGAAGTCGTGAGGATGACAAAGGCGACCTGGCAAACCGACCCTCACAAGTATCTGGACAGAGTCGATCGGCGGATTTAGCGTCTGTGATTCCAAGATCCCCTAGGATTCGGGACGAGTTCATCAAGGTTGAGCAAGCATCTAAAACGGTGAATGATGATTATGATGATGTTCAATCATCTGGGATTTGAAAACAATGCCACAAAAAATAGTACAGTAAGTCTATGTAAGTCTTCTGCAAAGAACACACCTGTAAACAGCTGTGATCAACGGAAGTGACTGCGGTTCTTCGGGCAAAGCCACTTAAATTGACGCATTATAACCATCTGAATCTTATGCCATCTTATACCCCTGGCAGCCCTTTTCCGCCATTCTCCAGCAGAACGAATTCCGCTGGGCGAGCCACAAGGATGAGAAGTGCTCCCTGAACTTCAGTTTCTCAGGTGGGTACTCCATGGTGTACGCCTCCTTCGACTGCATCGCCATGGCCGAAATACGACGCCTTCGCGGGCGCGCCGCTGGCGCCGCAGGCTGTGGACGAGGATTGCTACTCTCTCGAGCCGATGAATTGTAGGGAGCGACATGCCAACGAGCCAGGCCGATGGCCAGCTGATCGCGAGAACCATCGCGAGAACGAAGGCCCCAAAATTGGAAACACGGACCGCGCTAATGTTCCGCCAAAAGACCTGCAGTGGGAGTCTAATGGGGTGAGTCCTCATACAGCGAAGTCATTACATGAGCATATAATATAGATGTAGATGGCACAAAATCCTATCTACATCTATCTACATTATGACATGTTGAACTAGAATGAACTAGATCCATATAAGCCACCTTTGGATACCTGCCTACTGCCATCTCCAGCTCCAGCTTTTTTATTTCGGTGAATGGCAAGGGCCTCTGAGGTCCACAGGGTCCACCTCGTGCAGCCTCCCAAACACTGGTGGCCGCCTGGAGCAAACATGTGGGGCCCACACCGAAGGGTGAGCGCAAACAATAACATATCCCAAACCCCAAGGCCCAAACGCTGCAACTTGGCGCCCTCCGGCCTTGCCATCAACCACTTCAACCAACCAATCCGCCGGTGCCCCCACCTCCCATCGATCTGGGCGCCTGGGGATCGCCGGACCTAACTTCCAGCCCCCGCCCCCCACCTGCACGCGCGGCACGCGAAAGGCCCAACGCCCGAGACAGGAAGGGAAGTTCCTCTGCAGGTCACCTCGATGGAAGGAACAACATGCACTCCGCACCTTCGAACGGAGGTGGAAGAGACCTGCAGTGAGACCTGGGGGGGGGGTGTTCTTCAGTCTGGTCTCGGATCTGAGATTGGCAGGTGAACACCATGGATGGATGTAAATCCAACATTCAGGAGTGTACCATAGTGCACCAGGAAGCACCAGGAATCCGCCGAAAAACAAGTCCACAACGAAACGCACAAGTCCACCGATGAGTCTCCGTGCACGTCCTCTGTGTTTGGGCCTCTTTCATGTGTCAGGTGGTCGGTTGGGCGCACCTAAATGAACAGGAGACACGGGTGCCCCGATGGTTGTTGACTAGGGTAACCACCGTGCCCGTGCGCTCGACCGTGGTTCGTGAAGATGATAGCGATGATAGAATCTCAAAGATTCTCGCACATGTGTCATGCTTGGATTGTCACTGCCACATAGCTTGTGTCTTGCCACATAGCTTGTGTCCCCAGCTAGAGCATTACTCCAACAAACATCATGAAACATGAAACATCTGTCACTGAATGGACCCCAGAAGACTCCACGCTCGAACCGTCCGCGAGGGACTGGACTCTCCGCTGGGCGTTCCAACGATGGATGCAGTTCTCCAAGGCCGCCCTGACGCTTCCCTCCGGCCATCGAGGAACGACGGACGCCCCCGGGTCACTGGTGGCACCAGTAAGTCACCTCGACCCATCGAGGAACGACGGGCACCCGGGAAACCCTGCTCTGGTAGCCCATGAACAAACTGCGGCACATCGGTCAGGAGAACACTCGCCCAGGGAGGTGGATTTGGGATGGTTTTGGGAGGTCAATGCTCCAAAAACGACCCCGGCAAGTATCCACAAGTATCCACAAGTCCCAGACACTCCATGTATGTCATATGTATCACTATTTATCTACATTGGGGTGGTTTGAAGGGTCAATGTAGGTATATCATCGCAGGCCCATGTCCCATGGAGTGTCTGGGACATGGCAAACTCCAATCCCAGGGTCCCAAAGCACCAAGCTAAATCAAGGAAGGTTCCACCAATCGCGCCAAGGTCCAAACAGGAGAACGGCAGGGTCCGGCCAAGGAAATGAGCTGTTTCCCATTGTTTCTCCAACTTCCCTTGGAACACTTCATAAGTTGCTGCCGTGCTGGGCGGAATCATGCCATCTTTGCCGTTGCTTTGCCTTGCTTCTGGCCTTCCAGTCAGTTTTTCGCTGCCTGGCCCTGCTCACGAAAATGATCTGCCGCCCGCCCGTCCCATCCAAATCAAACAAAACAGGATGATCCACCCGCCACCATCCGGCACAAAACAGAGCGTGCGGACGTTCAGCGTTTCGGTTCACCCCACCTCCCAGCAATGAGACCTGCGTGAGACTGGCAGAGTCGGCTGATGCAGAGTCGACATCATGAAGGCAGTGGATGGCGGTCCAAAAGCGTCCAAAACACCGACAGAGAGAGGGATGAGAAGGCATGAGGACTGTTCCAGGACCCCTATGCCCCACATCAATGGTTTATACATGTTTATACTACCTACTGGTCCCCTCCTCTTAAGTGTGAGGCAGAATTGATGTAAGGGTCCTTCCACATTCATCACCTAGAGTCCTATAGAGGTTTTGGAACCACGACCCGTGGGAGACAGTGGCGTGGCGCACTGTCTCACGCCGACGAGGCAACACTTGAAACGAGATGAAACGAACAATTGAGAATTTGGAATGGGACAATCATCTCAGTGCAATAATATGCCGCTGGGAGTCCGAAACATGTCCAGGCACTCCCATAATCTCAAGCCAGAGCTCTACAATAAGCACAATAACTCAACAGCTACAGACTCACTACCTTCTTTTTGCATCTCTTATAAAATCTTGTATGGCATGCCCGCTTTCTCAAGTTTCACCAAATGTCTTTTGGCACCCCCATGTCAACCACCACGTCTGATCTGAGCCTTATGAGGTGCTTTGACCGCAAAACACCCAAGGCACACCCACCACGTCCAGTCTGGTGCCTGCTGGCAGTGCTCGGTCTCCTCGAAAGGTGATAGGCTCCGGTCGATTCCAAGAGTTATCAGATATCCTGTGCAAACCATTCTGGACACTGAAATGGACCCCAGGAAGAAGTTCTACAACGCCCTGTGAAAAAACAGGGTCCACTGGAGGGTACCTCTCTCAATTCGCGGGCATCGTGACAAGACATCTACAATTGGCAGAAGGCGATCTGTTTGTGAAAACCTTAAGCTCCCAAAAGCCTCCCAATCACTGCTCCATCTCTGGGAATCTCAGCCCACCCCTGCCGCCAGTGCCGACTCCCTTTCGTCCTCCTCCCCGCCGCCTGCAGAGGGGCGCCCCTTTTCCTCACTCATTGGCCCTGAATTCGATCGCGCTCGCATTAAGGAACATCAATAGGGGCCGAAAACGCCCGCGGGCGCGCTCATCGGTGGAGGGGCAAAGCCTGGAACAGCACCGATGGCATTTCCTTGGAAAAGCAGAATGGGTTTGAGCTGGGCCAGGCAGAAACACGCCCTCGAGACTGGACGAATCTGACCCTAATAAGGTTTATCATTCTCAATTGTAGCCTAGCTGCATTAATGTCTTAAGGAGAAGTTCCACTATACATGTGTGCCAAACAAAGGCACAAACATGCACAAACACACAATTCTACCATCAAACAAGCACCTGATTGGCCAAGCTTCCCATAGAATACATTTGGTTTTGGCACGAAGGAGTCCACTGGAAAGAGTGTATGCTGCCTGGTGGAGCATGTAAACCAGCTTGCGGATGCATGCTCATTGGCTGAAATGGCCTCGACAGTCACTGCAACGCCGCGTTAGGACCTCCACTTTTAGCATCTTTTAGCCGCTTTAGTTAGCAGTTAACAGTTAGCACCCCGCCATAGACATATAGAGGCCCCATGAAGTGCTTTTGCCAGAAAGTGTTGCCAACTTCGAACAAGTTGCGTCTGCTGCACCTGCTTCATCTGCATTTGCTGCGCCACCATGTTCGCACCGCCCCCAGGCATGTTCGCCATGTGCGGTGGCGGCATATGGCGCAGCTGCCCTTGCTGTGGGTGGGCAGGCGGCAGCTGCACGGGGTTCGGTTCCATGCCCCGTGGATCCAAGTTGGGCACCTCGGACAGTTCCTGCAGAAGGTCATCGAACCTCAGACCTCCAGATCGACCAGGTCCCCCAGTTCCCGAGGTCTGGAGGTCTGGAGCTCGATGGCCCCGCGGCTGGGTTCGTCCGTCCAGGCTCGGGGAATCGGAGGTGCGGTTTGGGGTGCTGGCGCAAAGGGTCCCCCAGGCGCGAAGCAATACACCCAAGAAGGCCAGATCGCTAAGGAGCAAGTCGTACCTTCTGAGCGTATGGTGATACAAGGCCACGCCACCATAGCCAGCAGAATTGGGGAGACGCAGGCCTGAACCCAGGACCTCCTGTGAAAGGATGCTCCACTTTGGGAGGGTGTTCCACATTAGACTCATTAGACTTGTTCTTTAGTCTTTGCTAGTGCATGTTGTGCTATGTTGTGCCGACTTCGGTCTTGGGTGTACCACCCTCACCGCTCCTCCAAGAGTTTATGGCCTGAATCGCATGACTTCCCAGAGCCCTAGGGCCCTTTAGGGGGCATGCTATGGCATGCTTCCACTTGCCCCTCCCCAGCTGTTACTGGCGAACACTTCCTGCTCCTCCCCAGCTCGCCTCGTCGTCCGACTCGACGTTGGCCTGGCAGCAGCTGTCCAGGCTGAGGAGTTGATTTCCGAAGGTCATGGAGGTCAACCACCCAGGCAGCTGGACCTCAGGGCGAGCACGGGCAGTGGTCATGGTGGTCATTTGGCCAGTGGATGCTGGAGGTGGTTCAACCGACTCACACGATCAAATGGAAAGACTTGGTGTCCGATGGAAAGGCTGTGGGACAATGTCTGGATCTGATCCAGAGCTCTAGTAGCAACTTGAGCCTGAAGAAAGTCCACAGTGGGCTCTACCTGGCATGGAGCTCCTAGCATCGTTGGATGTTTGGGCGTAGGGTGATAAAATGTGTTCAATGTGTGAACTTGGGGGTGGTTGAACGAAATTAGGTCATAGCAGAGGGACGAAATGCCTCCTTCCAAGCCCCCTTCCAGGACCTCACTCAGCCACTGTATGCCTACACCCCGTCGAACAATCTGCTCCTTCCAAGTACCCACCCTACAGGATGAATCCCCATGATGAGATCTGGTGGCTCAAGTAGGGGCGACCGCGAAGCTGGCAGAAGCTGGCAATTCAATTCTATTGTGATACATGGAGATCACCTCGCTGGTTGACCCCGGCACGCCACCTGAACCCAAAATCACTGCACACGACCCTGTCTCAAAAATCTCGGACCATCGCCACCTCCAACTTAGGAATCATGGCCAGGATGGTCTTGGCATACCAAACAAACAATCCTGGCCATGATTGTTTGGTATGCCAAGATGGTTTGTTAGGCCAGGATGGTTTGGGCCAAAACCAAACAAACAATCCTCCAAGACACAGAGGGCTTGGGTGCCCAGCGCCGCTGCATCTCTGGCGTCCACTCCACCACCTACGGCACAAGTGGAACTGTGGAACCCACCCTTTGGTGGCCGCGAAAACCAAGAAACTGCCAGAAAGAACCTGCTGGCGCAACGGCTAAACGTGGTTTTGCGCGTTTGCGCGTTTGTGTGTGCTTGGTGGAGATCATTATGATGACAGTATTATGGTTGTTGCGCATGTGTTGTCTCCCTTTTTCAACTTCCTCCCTCCCCCCCATAACTGCCCCAAATGACGCCCAGGAAGAACTTTCAGTACCATTTCCTCTAACTTTCGCATGGCGGAAGAAGCCGGAGCAGCTGGAGCGGGGCCCGAACGCCAGGTCTGCACACGGTAACCATTCGAAGAACTCCTGCTTGCAGGCCCCCTGCGCCTCGGCCACCACGCAACTGGTGTCATCCTTCTTTCCCCCACGGCCAATGGGTGCATCTGGCAGCTGTCCATTGGGCATCGTCCGCGTCTTCGCGTGGCACAGCTCAACGATGCGCTGCGCCAGCGCGTGGAGAGCGGCCACTGGAGTGGGCCCCACATGCGCCGCATGCGGAGAGAGCATATTGTTGGCCTGCGTTTCTTTGGGGGCTTTCTGAGAGGTTGAGGTTTTCCAAGGCAAGAGCTACAAAAAGGAATCTCTTTAAAAGGAACACCTGACTTTCTCTCTCTGTCTGTCTCTCTCTCTCTCTCTCTGGGGTGCTGAATGAGTTTCCTTGAAGTTGTTCGCACTTTCAGGTCCCTCATGGAGGATGCCTCCCGCGTCCCTCTTGGCACCTGGACCGAACCCAAAAATCCGGAGACGGCACCTAGACTCCGACTCGACTCCGGAGGCGGCACCTAGACTCCGACTCCGACTCCGGCACACATCCGAGGCACCAGCTCCAAGATTTCGTCTAAGTACAAGTTGTCAAAGACCCCATCACTCCCTCGGTTCTGATGGGCCGAAGACCGACAGAGTCGGGTTGGAGCGCGTGCTTCGGCACCGGATGAAACACAAGACATGTGACGGTCTGTCTGAAAAGCCCTTTCCAAAGCACGCCATTGACAGGGGGCCTCTGAAGTGCAAGGGGCGGGTTGTTGTCACTGTTCTGATCTTTTCTTTAGATGTGCAGGGGTGATTGCTCTGAGGCGAAGCAGTGCTCCCTCCATGTCTTCCATCACCCCCACACCTCCCACCCATGCCCCGCAACAAAACCAGCACACCCACTGGCCACTTGCGTCCCTTGCGTCCCTCGCTTCCTTCCACTTCCACTTCCTCCTCCTGATGCGCTCGAGGCGCCCATGATCACCAGGTCCTTCTCGTAGGCCGAGACGCAGTGCACCGCGCTGCCGCGCTCGATGACCTCCACGGTGAGCTCCTCCGTGAAGTTCGGGTCGATCCGCTCATCCACGCCTGGGGTCGAGGAACGAAGGTGGAACCCGAAGCGGTTTCGGCAGGGCGTGGTGACGTGGTTTCGGACGGATTCCGGACTCCTGGGGGGTGGAGTAAGGAGGGTTTTTTGGTGGATACCAATGGTGTTTTCAGATGTGTTCAGGTGCTTTTTCTTGGAAATCGCTCGACGGGGATTGTTGGATCCGTTGCAACACCCCTGGCAAGATACATCAAAATCCTTTGCTCAGAAGTAGAATCATGGGCATTGATGGATATCGTCATTTCTTTTTTGTCTGGCGGACGGCGGACAGCAAAAAAAAAGACACAACTCAGTGGGAAACCTCTAAGGCCAGAAAATCAACACTTCAATTTATCTGATAGAGATCCAATTACCTTCTCAGAAGGTACTTGGACCCTCCAAACCTACATAACAGTGTCTCCTTCCTCACCTTTTGAGAAGGTACGACTGGATCGCTTTTGGCAAACCCCTTTAACTGAGGAACCCCACTCTACCTTTAAAAGATCTGATCTTCTGGGATCTTCTGGCGCAATCTCCCAATTCTTGCGGCCTCGTCACGACTCGTCACGACTCGTCACCGACCTCGTCACCGACCTCGTCACCGACCTCCTCCCGACATCCGGAACTCTTCAGCCAGGTCTCGGGCCAGCTGCAGTGGCGTCTGCGCATGCCCGTCGATGCGTTGCATCTCGGTGTGGCAGACCAACTCATAAGGAGCTCGAGCCCCCTTCACACGGCGCAGGACCAGCAACTCGCAATCACCTGAGCTGCGAGTTTGGAGCTTTTCAGGAGGGATGAACACCTAGGGCATGACTGAAAATGAGGGACCATCCTTACCTATAAGACCTGTTGGGCTTCTGCACCAGCAGAATGATAAAAAAACTTGTGCAGTTGAAGCCCGTGCTGTGCCACCGCCCACAATACAAGCAAGAACCGAGCCGCCAATGGTGATGATGGCAATCATCGGGTGCAGCTTGCCGTGAATGCCTTGCCAAATTCCGGGCGGCCCAAAACCAATGGGCAGAACTTCGAAGAGGGTTGTTGCGCCATCTATTCTGACACCACTAGAGCTCCAAGTACCTTCTAAGAAGGTGTTTGAGGATGTTTGAGGTGGGTGCGAGGAGCCTTTGAACTACCTTCTGAGGTACCTAAACAGACCTCCCCCAGAAGTTTGGCGTCCAGGTGGCGCGTGGAGTTGTCCATGATGGCCAGCACCACCGTTAAGGATCCCAAGGCCTCTGTGGCCTGAAAGGCGCGCCGCATCATGGAGACCGGGCCGCGGTAGCAGTCGGCGGTGTTCAAGGAGACGCCGGGGACCAATTGGTGCATGCCCAACTGCTGAACCACCTGGGCGAAGGGATGGGATATCCCAGACACGACGCGACTAATGGGACTGGTGGTGCCAGAGGGGTCAATGTAGGCATATATGGCAGTCCCATTAGTCGTGTCTGGGTATTGGAAGGAGGTCTATAGGACTGACTGACCTTCTGCCAAAAAGACTGGGCCTTCTTTGCTGGTGGATTGCTAGCTGGCTTGGAGGAAGGATGACTTGAGTTCGAATCGGCCCCGAGGTGTTTCCGTATGATTCCGCCACCAACCCCACGTGACGTAGTACATGGATCCCTGCCAGTCCTTGACATCTGCAAAAAGACTGGGCCATTCCTCTTGCCCAAATCCAATTCCCCGTTCGCACCGCACCCGAAGTACCTCACTGCCCCACCGCCCCCAAAGTAATTACCTCCCGCCCCCCTTCTTTTGGCCGACCTCGCCACAAAATGGTGACCATTCAAAAATTTATCCCCCTTTTCCTTGGCACTTCTTCAGCCTTTGGGTCCAAAAAGCCAGTATACAGCCTTTGGGGCATCAACCCGACCTGCACGCCAGAAGTTCAGGATCCCTCCCCAGCACGGCCCAAAAGGCCCGGCCCGCCCATCTCGAGGCGCTCGGAGGAGCTCATTCGGCAACACCGAGGCGTCGATCCCGAACTCCTTCCGCGAGGCGTCGCTCCCGGCCCCGGGCGGTGGCCGTGAACCGAGAGGTGCCGTTGCCGGGGTGGTGCGGGGAAGCGCGGGAACCGCCTGACGCTCAGCTGCTGAGCGTTTCTAACCCGAGACCCGTCCATCCCAAGGATCAAACTGAGACAGGAGATTGGGTGGCTGATCGGAAGGCAGGAGGCAGTTCTATCTTGAGATCTCTGTAGAGGGGGGGTGCTGGAAGATTCTTCTTTTAGGGATTCTTGGAGGGATCGACATACCTTGAAGATGCTTGAAGATTTCAATACTAATCACAGTAAGTCATCAATGCCGCTGCATCGAGTACTATCGAGCAACGTGTCTCTGATCGAAAACTCGACCAGCGGACTGCAGGAGGAGGAAAAGGGGTATAGTCCACGTAAGTGCCGGGAATCTGGGGAAGCCCAGGATGTCATGAGACACGCACACCCAACATCACCCTAACCCCCTTTCCCTCAGTCCTCAATCTGGGAAACTCCATCTGCCACTCCAAGAACCAGAGGTACTGTCAAGCAAGCATCTGCATCCTACCATGCTCTTGAAATAAAAACCACATCATGCTCACTCGGGTCTCTGAAAGAAGGACCTGCCAAAACTTTTGGACAAATAGAAAAACGACCCCCTCGGCGTGCCCCAGGGGGTATCGCGTGACCCATTTTACCCTTTCACACGGGGGGGCATTTGTCCCCTGCGAACGGGACCCTGTTCTATGCCCTATGCCCTAAAAACAAAAAATATAAATATGCAAAACCATCTTCTGAATACCTCCGAGTCTCCTTGTGCCCTTTCTGGGCCTTCACAGGGTGCGTCTTCTGGTAGGAGCCTTGGGAGAGGAAAAAAAAAGGCAGAATGCTCTTCACCGCCCCACTTGGCGCCCAGCGCCCACGCCACTTATATCATATATAAGTTGGTCTACCCTACCCCCTGAAAGGAGGAAGAAACAAGGGCACATAGATGAACAGTGATGTCATGGAGCGGAGCGGCAGCTTGACCCAAGGCTTAAGTCAAGCCCATCAAATGCTTGGATCAAGCTTGGGAGTTCGTGGGTCAACCACATAAATCAAGAACCTTCATTATAAAACATCGAAAGTGCTAGGGGTGTTCAAATTGAAATTAACAGAACCTCCAACGCATCCATACGCATTCAGGTTTAGTATGCTGTAAACTTAACACTCTCTTGCTCCTTCAGGAAGCTGAATCGGATTGGATACTTCTTGAACGCAACTTGTTTCCCTTGTGCTGTCACGCTGGGATCCTGCTCCATACAACACACAAGGGTTCCTTCTCCCTCCCTCTCCCTCTCCTTCTCCTTCCCTCGCCATGTTCGCATATTCTCGCTGTCTGCTCCAAGTGGCAGCCATTGAAGCACAAGGGTTTGTTCTTATGATACGCTTCCGCCAGCTGCTGCTCTCGCCGTTGGAACTCGTCCAGGTTCCGCCTCTGTCGCTCCGCACCCACCAGGAAGGTGGGCGAGCGGAGCATCCCATCCGCCATGGGCCGTGGCGCGCGTGGGCCGTGCCGTGGCAGGGAAGGACAGCAGGGCAGTAAGAGGGAAGGACAGTAAGGAGTCGGAGGATGGATGCCTTTTGGTCTGGGAGCAAATGGGTTTCAACGTCTGAAGAATATGATCAGACATGGCTTCAGGCTGTATGTGTCTTGAGTGTCCACAAAGGGTCTGGTGCGCTTCCATGCGCCATAGCACGCACGCCCTCCATACCAGGGTGACACCCAATGAATACACCTGAGCCAAAAGAAAGCCAAGCAGGGGGTACGACATGGTCCGACCGACCCCTCCGGCCACGGAAGCCATCAAGGCACAGCCATTTCTAGCCATCAATCAGAAAAAAAACCATCACAGCTCGATTGCTGCCACAGGCTGTGCCAGGTGTCAAGTTTCTTGTACCTAGAAAATGCTGGAAGTCTTCCCTCATGGGAGTTCAGCGATGCTCATGGGGTTTTGCCCCACATCCGCTTGTCTCGGGGGACGCCCCGTCGGCCACGGTGGTTTTAGAGTCGGCCGTGACCCGTCAGATCCCGTCAGGTCGTGGGGGCCTCTCTGTTTCCATACTCACCCATTTGCGCGGGCCTTTCAGGCCAGCACATCATAAGGGAAAAATTATCGTTTATGAGTAGATTGGGAGCCGCCCCCACCTCAAGAAGGTATGACTTTGCAAGCTGTTCATGTGGCGGTCCTTGCTATCACCTCATGCTCTACTTCCTGGTAGGTGGACCTGGGCCGGTCATCTATTCTCATCTTTGGTGGGACAAAGCCCACCCAGACTCCACCGGCGCCACCGAGTCCACCGAGTCCGTCCCGGATCTCCTGGGCTCCGGCCAGAGGAAGGGCCGACCGCGGTGTGGGCTGCGGAGCGCGGCGAGCGGCGACAGCCTCAGCGGACCACACCCAACGCGGACGGAACTGGAAGTGCTAAGGCTAGTTCAATCAAGTTCTGGAGGTGACCCGGAAAAATTTCGTGGAAAATCTGACTAAGTTGGTGCCAGAGTGTTTGGACTTCCAGGGGAAGAAAGGACACTCCAATCTCGAGTCAAAGTGGGTCGACTAGGCGAAGATCAAAGCAACGGTTCCCTTTTCCCAGCGACGCTTCCTGTTTTGAGGTCACCTACACTGCTGATAAGTCTTCATTGGACCCCCATTGGAAGTGCTACAGTGGGTAGACGGGGTTCGATAATGTTCGATATAAAAAATGATAAAACATGTGTTACTGACCCACCCCAGATCATATTGAAGAGGCCGGCCTTGCAGCCAGGAAACAGCTGGAGGCCGTTGCTGCCAATCCAGGGGCGACCAGCACTCACCTGGATTGGAACTGGCCGTGGCTCAACGACAAAGGTGCTAAGTGATTCCGTGTGGATTCCGTGCCACCGAATACTGGCCGGTAACTATAGGCCAGTAGTAACCCAATAGTGGTCCAAGAGGGTTGTTCTACCAAGCTCGAGGCGCATCGATGCGTGAAAAAGCGATGCGTTCGTTCGGCGGTCATGGCGATCAAAAGTGGATCTCAACAGCGGTCATGGTGTCTCCAAAGATTGAATGGCTTCTACCAGCACCTTCCAACAGGGGTTGTTAGGCCCTAACAGGTTTCAATTGGTGACCTGTTGGAGGGGCTGGTAGTAGTTACACGACTTTTACTAACCTTACCAGCCTTACCAATTGTGTAATCCCAAGAGATGACGTGTACAAAATTCATGCTTCTTGCAGGGTGCTTCATACGCATGCGCCGCATGCGCTGAGCAAAGCATGAGCAAATGAGTCCCAGTTAGGCCGGAAAGCTGCGAGCGAGACTTCATGTGGCCTTCATGTCCACTCATGCCCAACTCCATATTCTTATATGTGGCCACTCATGTGAGACTTCATGTGCCAACTCATTTCCACTTCATTCTGGCACTTCCATATTCTTATTTCACTCTTGTTTCAAGATGTGTCCAGCTACTCTTGAACCCCTCGTGCTTCAATGAAGTCTGTGCTTCCCAGCCATCCACAGCAGTTGGTCCACGTCCACGGCCGCCGCTTCTCGTTGCTCCCTTCGCCGCTCCTCCCGCGCGAGGTGGGCCAAATAGGACCTCAATCGATGGGGAGCGGCGATTCAAAACCGCGAGGAGCCACTCCGTGCAGGTCTCCGTGGTTGGCGCAATGGCCTATGGCCTACCAGCAGTTCCATGTCAGAATGCTTTTTGAGCCCCTTTCGTCCCTACAGGAAGTGAGTGGATGATGGTCACCCCTATCCGACCTATCCTCGGCACCCCTATATGGAACTGCTGCTGTGTGGTGGGGTGGCTGGAGTATGGACTGTGGCTCAGCGGCTCATCTTTTCATTGGGCAGGGCGTAGATGATGATAGTTCAGAGGGGCCTGATTCTCAGCAAAAGTGATAGATACATCAAGCATCATCAAGCGTTTGCTGGCTTTTGAAGTCAAACAATAGTCAACAGGACAGGCACAATACGTTACATCGGATAACACTGCACATCAACATAGGCCAGTCCAGCTTGATGATGGTGCACGGTGCACACAAAGAATATGTTGCTTCCAAAAAAGCTGGGTCAAATTGTATGTAAAAGGATTGTATAATTACTGGACGTGCATCTCAAAAAAATCCTCCACCTCACAAAAACCATAGGCTCTATAGGCTTCCCATCCCGAAGATTCCCACCCTCCCAGCCTTTTCAAACCTGTCCGTTCCTCAGCCCCTTCCACCGCGCCACACGTCCACGAACTTCTGACTCTGCGGCGACAAATGCTTCCTGGTGCAACCCAGGACCCCGGGGATCCAATCCGGGCGCCCCGGCCCCCCCCAACCGGTGGATGAACTGGAGATGGAGGAGCTCAGGGGCACCCGGTGGAATCTCCTCCGCCCAGGGGCGGAGGTTCCAAAAGGCAAAGAAAAGGAATTCACCGAGCGGTCTTTCCGGGATGTGGGGGGCTTTTGAGGTCCGGAAGGGTCAGATATCGAAGACTGGATGCGCGTTTGCGCTCCGAATCCGGTCCAGACCCCCAAGAAGTTCTGCAGAAGGACAGTTGTGACCATGATGGAGTTCATGTGTGTTTTTGTTCCTCTCTCGTGAGGTCGAAGCACTCGGAACTCGGAACTCATCAGAACAGAACTCCAAGCTGAGTCTCTCTCCCTTCAGTTGCGGTGGTTGAACCAAGCTGTCCAACAGCTAGGGGGGACGATATCAATGTCAACAAACTCTCGCTGATATCACCATGCGAGCATGGAGAAAGTCCGCTTTGAATTGTAACCGATATTGGTACAGTTGGGTAAATGAGTTGGTCACTCCGTATCTTGCTTGCCCATTGGGGCTTGTTCATGGCATCTCATGCATTGCATGGCTTCACGAATGACGATGAACCTCCGACCCAACCAGCTGGTGGAAAACCACCAGCTCCGCTGGTGGCTTTCACCCGTGGCTTTCCACGACCCACTCCCGCCGTCACTCGGCCCGGGCCCCACCTCCTCCCGGACGGAGAGCTGCCGGGCATCACCCGCCTCGCCGGCGGCCGATTCATCGGGCACCAGGTGCCGATGGGTGAAGAGACAGAAGGCGTCTATCCCCGGACTGGAGGGTGCGATGTGATGGGAATCCCAATGTGTGGTCCGTAATACTTGGAGTTGCTTAGGAAGGAACCGGAAGAGACATAAGAAAAAACATATAATATCTATATGACAGTGCGGGCAGCCTGGTCTGCTATTTCGCCGGCGGCAGCAGGCCGCGACAAGCTCGCAATGGCATATATATATATAACCAAAAGGAGACAACTTAAGCAAAAGAAAAAAAATATATATATTGTTTTACCCAAAAAAAAAAGACAACTTGAGCAAAATCAGGTATAAGATCAAGGATGGATTATAAGGTGGGGACAACTGTGAGAGGGGAAATGGCAACACCAAAGCTCAATGCCCACCGAAAACACCAAAAAAAGCCTTCCATACCCTCCCAGCCTGCGCTTGGGTGCTGGCAAGCTCACCTCAATGACCTGTCGCAACACCGCCCGCGAGGTGACCCCCGATGTCCCAGGAGCCAAATACAACGAGGTATTGCACAAAGACCTGCTTGCGGATTAGGAAGGTCATGTTTCAAGCTTACGGTCACCAATGCGGGCCAACGAAACCTCCCTCCCTCCCTCCCTCCCCGTCTTCCTCTTGTGCTGCCGTCCACGTTGACCATGATTCCGGCTAGGTTGTGTCAGTGACTATTCTGGGATGTGTCCTCTTCAGCTACTGACACTTGTCGGACATCGTTCGCACGCTGGGACGATGGGGGGCCGGGAGACCACCGAACTAGCCCTCAAACACTTGTCGAAGACTGGAAAAAAAAACATACCTGCTGTGAGGGAGCTGATGTTCCTGGGCAAGTGCTTTCAGCAAAGGCATGTTGAGGTTGAGTGAAGACCTACTCGTCATGCTGTGACAACTTTAGGCAAAAATTCCATACGTCCAGATGAGAGGCATGGAATTCAAGAAATGTTTACTCCCAACCTTTATACTTTCGCTATATAATAATGCCAGGCAAACCCACTTCATCCCCGTCCTCGGCCAGGGGCAAATCCTTCCGACAAAGCTGCATCAAAGAAAGCTCCAAACGCCAAAGGGAAAGCCTCGGATTCTGCCACTTCTCGGACGACATGGTGGGCTCTCAAACCCGGAAAAAAAGAAGAACAAGCGACCAGTCGAGGAAGGTCTACCAACGATTAACTCTCATCCACCATCAAATATATGTGTGTATATATATATATAATTCCATACTAACAGACTTTAACTTAGAACATCTTAGAACTAATTTTGGAAAACCGTTCTTCTTGTTCGACCCGGTGAATCTCAAAGCTGTTCGAGTTTGGTTCTGAGACCCCATGAGTACTCCCATGAGTCCCCAAGTGGATCCCGAGTGCGTTGATGGCGGGCAGGGCGCAAGGCCTCAATATGGCGGGATACTCCTGGAAGATTCCGAAACACTCCATGTATGCCATATATGCCTACATTGACCCCCCCAAACCACCCCAATGTAATTAGGCATATATGGCAGTCCCATGGAGTGTCTGGGATAGGTTCTTTCTTGGGGAAACGGTCAACGGTTGAACCTGATGTAAGCATACTGTAAGCCACCACTTTGGAATTCGAGCCGAATGCGTGCCTTGCGCGAAATGGCATGCGCACCCCGTTTCATGAAGAGTCATGGAAGTGGAAAATGCCCCAGATTGTCAATCTGGAATGACAATCGTGCAGGTCAGCAGCCATATTCGATTACAGCTCAGATCAGCTCAGCAACCCCTTCCTTCGCGCCGTCCATGAAATCGAATCGACCCATGCATCCTTCATCCTTTGCGGAGAAAAAAACAACAAACGCCACCGCTTTCGCCACCGTTTTCGGCCCCAGGTGCAGGGGCAAGAGGAAGGAGCAGAAGTTCTCCTCTCAACCAGCAGGGGCGGTCCCGGATCCACGAAGAGGGTCAAGAAAGCCGCCAGTGGTGTGGAACTCCGGATTTGTATGTGATTTTATTGGTTGAGATGGGCATGGTTGGGACAGCCATGCTGACATGAGCAACCCTGAGCCAAAACCCCGTCACTCACCGGCAGTCCGCGCCACCGTCGCAACGCACGTCGTCCGCGTTGGACTGCCGTCGTCCGCGCGTGTGGTCCGTCCTCACCCGGTCGCCGTCCCGCCAGGGAGCGCCAGAGCGCCAAGAGCACACAGCTGGGAAGGTGGACGTCCAAGGGTGGCACGACCAAGGGCGTGACCTTCCCCATGCACGCCACCGAGATGGTAGACCCCGTCTGCAGGGGGGTGGGCGGCCCGAGACGGGGTGGGCGGTGCGGCCCAAGGTTTTGGGGTGCCCTTTTCCGGGGAGTCTGGTCCGAAAGGAACCGGGTGTTCATGTCTTTTCCGGTGCCTCTAGCTACTCTTCTTAGGATTCCTTATGGTATAGAAGAAAAACATCCTCGGACGTGGAGGTCACGTGCAAATGGTTGGCGACCCCAGCCAGTGTGCAACAACGAACTTCTCTCACCAAGACAGCCGAAGGCCATCTGCCATGCCCATTGGCTCTACCAGTGGCACTGCGAGCGCAACTAAGAAGTAGTTCCAGTTCCTTTCGGTCCCAAATGGTGCCCCGAAATCCATTTCCGCAGGCTCGCCATGAGGGTGAGCCATGAACCAATGCTCAAATATGGCAAGCAATCTGCTTGAATGATGCAGCACATGCCTACAAATTCTGAACCATATCTCCAATCCCCCGAAGGAATATGAAGGCTTCATCATCTGTGCTGCTTGTCAAACGTGCATGGGAGACATCAAATTATGTCGTGTGATGTCGTGTGATGTCGTATGTAGTCCCTCTACAACGTATTCCATGTGTTCACCCTCCATCTAACAAATGGAATGGAACACTTTGCAGCAAGGGTCAACTGCCTTCACAGTCCCTCTCATCCTTGCTGAGTGGCAGCTCCCCGTGCTTCAAACAGCTCCGGGTGGTTGCACACCTTCCCTCGGGCGCCACCAGCGGCGTCCGTTGAGGGAGGCAAAGAAGCAGCAGTGTTTGGGGGGGTGTAGGAAGCACAAAGCCTGATTGCAAATGATTTTCTTTACCTGAACCTAGCAAGTGGTGAAGGGAACTCCTATATTGTAGCCGCGCTCTCGAACCTACTTACAATTCATTACAAGTCGTTGTTTTCAGGGTCCATGTTAGTCTGGGGGTGGGCGACCAAAAAGCCAAAAGACATGTGGATGACCAAAATGGATGAGACACGGTAATACCTTTTTTTTCATGTGCCGTGAGGGTTGTTGAGGCTACTGTACGCAAGGTTGGAGTTTGAGATCAAATCTAACATACAATACCTTTCCAGGAGTTCCTGGCTATTGGAGGAGCGAATTGGGACACTCTATGATCCTTCAATTCGGGTGAGCAAAGCCCACCCTCTCTTGAAACCTCTGAAGGCCCAAAAATCGGCCGAAAGTCTGAGGTGGACCATGCCCATGCGGACGGCCCAGCCCGCGAAACACCCATGCTTCTGTCCGCGCTCGAAAGCTCCGGTGTCCGAAGCCAGGCCGGTGGTGGGCGCCCTGCGGCCGGGTGTCTCAGCTGCATCAAAACGCCTGGGAGCCCAGGGACGAGGTGGGACCTGGTCGGACCTTTGGGGGGACCCCTTGGGGGGGGACCCCCTTGGGGGGTCCACACCCCTCCCCATCTTGCCATCAAGAGTCCACCATGGTCCGACTTCGGAACACTTTCGTTCGGGCTCCGCATCCGGAGGCCGTCTTGGGGTTTCCCAGTGGAAATACTTTGCTCGAGTCGAGTGCCCCAAAACTGGAAAAAATAAACACGGACGTAGGAAGATCGCCGGGCAGCGGCTTCGACAATGCTGGACAACCTCGTCAACGATCGCATCCAATTCCCCAGCCCCCCACCCCGGCGGGCGGGCCCCCAATGTGGCCGCTTGATCTTAAAGTCACTTTGCAGGCGTGAACATTGCTGCATCCAATAAATATTTTGTGGCCGATGGCCACACAAGAGAGAAAAGATAATCCCCGATGTCTAATCCAAGGGATATCCGATCAGTATAAGGTCTACAGTGTCTACAGTACTTATAGTAATATATAGTTTCATAATAAAGCGTGCGGCACAGCACAAGAAGTTCTAACTCACATCAACCTGAGGTTGTTCGAAGTCTACTGCTCGCTGGACGTGAGACTCTAAGGCCACGGCAAGTGGCAGGGGAGCTGAAGGAACCTTGTAGGATTGTGTAGGTTTTTTCTGCACTCAGAACCAGTTCAGGAGTCACCCTGCAATCTTCCCCCAGCCCCGCGGCCTGCGGCCTGGCCTAGAATGGCCTCCAAAATAGCTGTTGGGTTCCTCGGTTCCCGAGCTATACTCCGATCCTCGGTTCACTCCGCCGTCCACCTCCCTCCCTTCTCGCCCTCCGAGCGCTCCCAGGCGCCCATCATGCCGATGTATTCGCCCTTCTTCAGCACCCGCTGCGTCTCACGCCTGGGGGGTTGAACTTGTTGAGAGCACCTGGGATGAGACCTCCTCCTCTAAATAGCTGGGACCACTAAGAATGTGATGTATATATGTATATGTAACATGTATCTATTTATTTATTTATAATAAGGCCTCCAAGCAACTATTGGCACTTCCTTTCTCCCACTCCGAGTGTTCGTGGCGCCTCTGCATGAACTCCTCATAGAGCACCTGCTGCCGTCGGGAGAGGGGGCATCGCACCTGAGTTGAGAGCGAGGCTTCGAACCGAAGCTGCACAGCCAGCGGAACCCACTGAGAACACCCGACAACATCAACTTGGACCCACGTCTTCAAGGGCTTGATTGGGGGCTAGGGGCTACCTTCTTAGTTGGCGCCTTACTTTAAATTTCATGATGCAACAACATGCAACAACTACCAGGACGCCCTGAGGGGTTTCTATTGATAGCTCCTGTAAGAGGTGATTCGGGGTGTCCATCAACCAACCCGACCATGGGTCCTGGTATCCGACTTTTACCTAACTTGATGGCTCAAGAGCTGCACTTCAATGGCTTCAATGGCCGCTCTGGCGTGGCTCTGGTGGTCTTTTGGCGGGAGGCTGACTGGCTGACTGGCTCCGAAGGGAAGGAAAAAATCCTTTAGGACAAAAAAACCTTCATTCAATCAGAGGAGTCGGCCGCAAAAACCTACACTAACAGTATCCACCACGAAATCATCACAGCCAAACGCTGCATGAATCAGCGAGCAGTAGATATTTAAAAAAATCTTCGAGCTACCATGAACTACACAAGGGCCTACGCTACCAACAAACATGTAATCAGCAGCCTGCCGGGCAATCCGAAACGTCCACTCTCGTGGTTGAAAAAGGTTACAACTTCTCTACCACGATGTGATCTGGAATGGCCAGTGTCGTGGCCCTCACACATCCACCCGGGTCTCCTTTGAATGCTTCGACCAGGAAGTCTGCCACGGACTGACCTTCGGCAAAGCCTGCGGCAGTCAGACCCCGTGCCGTGCGCAAGTCCACGCGGGCTCCGGCCGCAACAAGAACGGCAGCGGCTTCGTAGTTCCCGGTCATCACTGCTGTCATCAGTGGAGTACGACCCGTGGTGTGGTAGCAAAGTTTCGATGTGGGCGTGATGTTGCCGAGCCGATGCTGCAGATTGAAAATGGCGTGGAAGATGCCAAAGGCACTCATGAGCGGAGGCTCCTTGTAGAGCTCGTTCACATCAGCATCCGAGTCAATTAGCCACTGGATCACATCTCCACGACCCCCATTCAAGTAAATGGCAAAGAAAAGGCTCTGGGAAAGGTCCAAGCTCTGTCCGGATTTGGCATAGAGCTCCTTCATGGCATTGAGCGAGCCCCACTGACAAGCCGTGAGGAAGACTGGGACATTGAATATCCATCGCTGGTGTGGGCTGCAGCCTGCCTCACAAAGCATGCGGACACCTTCTGCATTGTCCATGGCACTAGCCATGCCAAGTTCATACTTGCCCACAGGTGCCTTGGCTGAGATCAGGAGGCTGGCAGCCTCATTATGCCTCAAGGCCAGTGCTACTGCAAGTGCTGAGACCCCCCGCACACAGTGGACTGTTGGGCAATCCTTCTGCGTCAAAGCTAGAAGGTCAGCCCGCTGTGCAAGCAGCTCCTGGGATTGTTTCTATCAGGAGACCAGGTCACACCCCAACGAATGAATGAATCTGAATATCAATCACCCAAGCCACTGGTGTTGGCAGCTAACATGTCCTATAAACCTGCCCCTTTCTAGACCCTAAGGAGAGCAAATGGCGCGCCATCACTCGCGCCATCTTTGCTAGAAAGTGGCCTTAGTTGAAATGGGGTAAATGGGGAGCAAACAATTCTCAGCAAAGCTTGGAGACTTGGATGAGATCCGAATCGCCTCGTAAGGCTGCATAGTGCAAGGGTGCCCATCCACCAGCATCCACCTCCATGATGTGGCTCAAGCCATTCTGGTAAAGAAATTTGGAAACGCCAGAGCCCGAGGCGTCCTCCTCCTTCCAAGGGACCGGCTCATGGATGGCTTCAAGGTCGAAGCCCCGAAGAAGAGCCGTCTGCGAATTCAGCAGCAACCGGTACCGCACGAAGTCGCGCGCTTTAAGGAGAGCCAAGATCTTCCGTTGGATGGCGCCCATCAGAACAGGTCCAAGCCGATCGCGATCCGCGGGCACCGTGAAGGTCCCTTCACCGGGCGATTCGCGCAAGGAGGTGTTGAAGAGGGAGACTTCCATTACCTTCGAGGACTTGATGAAGACATGAGAGCCATCCAAGCACAGCTCTCGACAAAACCTCTCCACTCGGCACCACCCCCGTTGAGCCCAGCTAAAGGGGCTGAACAACTTGGAGAGACTGGGACTCTCGATCACGGGGCATAGGACAAAGAAGAAGGCACACCTTTCGACATATGCGGGAATGCTTTCAACCGCCTTTGCCAGATTGCTGGTTTGATTGGAGAAATGTTTGTTCTCAAGCTGCGGGCAAGAGAAGTAGTCATACCACACCTGGGATGTGGGCCTGGAGAACATGGGTGAGCCAAAAGACCTCCCCCACAATTACAAGGGGATTCGTAAGGGGAAAAACAAGATGGAACCCACGAACCCGAATGCCAACACGTACTCGAAAACAAGCGCTCAAACAAGTTTGTTTTGAATCTTGACACACTTGTAGGGGACACTTTCGTGGGACACTCTTGTAGGACACATTCTCTTCGGAAAGACGCCCACTCTTGCGGAACACTCTTGTATGACACTGTTGTGGGGCACTCTTGTAGGACACTCTTGTGGGACACTCTTGTGGGACACTCTTGTGGGGCACTCTTGAAAGACACTCTTGTCGGACATTCTTGGGGGACACTCTTGCGGGACACTCTTGTGGGACACTCTAGCGGGGCACTCTTGTGGGACACTCTTGTTTGTCACTCTTGTGGAACACTCTTGTAGGATACTTTGCGAAACAGTCTTGCAGGACACTCTTGTGGGACACTCTCATTTCGTACGAGACTTCTTCCAAAAGTCAAGCTGGGAAGCCCCATCGGAGCACACACATCAAGCAGCCCTGCCAAGCAGTTTCGCGATTCCAGCTCCTCCAAACAACGCCCGCTCACACGCCAATCCCAATGTCACAGCGACACTCACCTCCACCACAACTCGCAACCTCACGATTCCCTGCGCCTGCCACGAAAATCGCACTTCCACACCTCAAAACCCGCACAAAGTGCTGCCCTTGCCACGTAAAGTGTCATATCATGTCAGCTTCAACAAAATTTGCACCACACCACACGCTTGGAATTATTTTTTCGGAACACTGAGCACACTCCCATCCGCCAAAATGGCCATTTCAGCTGAGACTTGTCACGAAAACACAGCTTCCTTGCAACATCCTGAAACGCAAATCCCAATGTAACAGCCACATCCAGCACCTCAAAAATCCACTCTCCAAACGCCAACCCCAATGTGACTGCACAGAAAACGGTGGATCTCCCAAAAGGCTGCGCCTGCGCAGTGAAATCATCCTCCACACTTCAACATCTTACGTTTCCACACGTTTCCTCGCTATTTTACACGAATCTGACACATCACGCTTCCATGCCAAACCCTCTCCAAAACCTTCCCCCAATGGCAGCGGCCTTAGCGGCCTACCGCGGACGGCGGCGGTCGGCTGCGGACGGTTGCAAACGCTACGCGAACAAGGCTCTACCCCCAGACCACCACAGTTAAACGAGAACCCTTCGCTACGCATTCGGGAATAACTCAGTTGATCAGCCAAATCCAAGAAGCAAAGAGAGGTGTGGACCGCAACTTGGAGGTCGGCAAGCTCTTGGCACTGGGGAAGTTTCCCTGAGTACCGGGATCTAAAGGTATGTTGCCCTGCAGCCCCGACATGATGTTGCGCAAGGTGTCCTGCAACACCTGCAAATCACCACAGGGGCACGACAGCTCCCAGGACCGGAGGTCCAGGAGTCCATCGGATTCTGAGAAGGACCATCGGCCGAATCTAAGGGGCAAGCAGGCAATGAGAGCTGAGGGGATGCATTTGATACACCTACTTGTAGACCCTTCTTCTAAAATTCAGCTAGGCTTGCTTCACCTCAAGGATCATAACGACCTCGAGACAGCTTTGTTGTTCTTCAGTTTGTTGGTTTTTTTCCAGACCCTTGCCTGGAACTGCTGAAAATGTGGATCTGGATGGTTGCCTCCAACCCACTGATGTGAAACAAAGAAGCCCTTTCCCTGGCGCGGGTCGAACTCGGCCACAATACCCTTCTCTTTGAGCACTTCATGCGGCTCGATCTTGGTCATCTTCAAGACCTCCTCCATCGGAGAGGTGTACATCGGGTAGAGCAAGGGAGCAGCATCCGCCATGCACTGTGCAGCATGAGAACCTCGTGAAACTGAAGCACCCCTTTCACGGACCACTTTTTTGGGGGGCATGCGGCTTGGGCAGTTGGACTCCCACCAGAAGTCCACTGGTCCGGGGACCCATTCCTAAACTCATGCGGCTCATACCTAAGATCCCCGACCCACAGCCTGACAGGCCCGTCGCCGGCGAAGGTTCCCTCAGTTCCCGAACGAACGTTCTCTTTCGGCACCGCGCCTTCAACATCTTGGTCTTGCAAGGCCTTCGCGTACTCATCAAGTACGCGGCTGCCCCGCTTCGGCGAACAGCAGGACATGGCGAACGGTGCGTCTTTACAACCCAAAAGCTGCAACGCCGTTCGGCACCTCGTTGGGCCAAAGCCTGCGCGGCGGCATGCGATGTTAGGATGTGGTTAGCACAGAGACCAAAACGGCCGGCGCCCAGGAGGCGGTCCTTAGGGCTCTACAACAGAGGTCAACAGGAGTCTGGCGTTGGGCCCTCGGGCGATCTGTAGAAATCCCTGTGTTTCCACAGAACAGCCCAATCTCATGATCCCACCCCGTCCGACCACACGCATCTGGGAACCTGGTTGGGAGGGCCTGCTTCAGTGTTGCGTAGGAAAAAGGTCACTCAGGCCTCCACCTGCTCATGGTTGCGACGGTTCCTTTGAATCAAAGGGGGGGAAAACGGCCGGATCAGACTGATTCAGGCTGAGACCTCTCATCTTCCATCACGACATCTCAGGACCTCGTACTGAGAGTTCTGAGTTCCCCAGCCACGTACTCGTGCTTGTTGGGGAGCTGGCGTTCCACCTCGCTCTTCAGCCTGGCTGAAGAAAGCGCCCAGGCGCGGGACGGACCCAAGAGAGGTGGCCTCTGCCCTGATCGAAGGTTCGGTTTGAACCTGAAAAATGGGACATGAATGAACCTCTCTAAGAGTCTAGTCCATTTGCACCTGGCAAGATGTGCTAAGGGAGCATCTTTGATGCAGGGAATGGACCTGTCTTAGGGCCCTATAGTAACTAGATGTGACTAGTATGCATTTGCACGTGCCAAGATGGAGTGGCATTCTCATGCACAGAGTGGGGCTTCTCTGTGACTTCCACCAACTGCAGTGGTATTCTGGGCGTCCAAGCAGCCCCAACAAAATCAAAAGCATCCAGCAAAAAACAAAGCCCGCAATCATGGGTGCACGACGGCTCATATTGGTGTGGCTCATAGGTGCACGACCTGTGCCATACCTGTGCCAATGGCCCTTTTCGACGAATCGAGCGTGCAAGCCCACCTGGCACCGGCTGCTGGCGCAAGCCCACCTACTTATCCTCTATCTTGTTTCAAAAGGTCTCCAGAAATGGCCCCAACAGCTGGCGCCAGCCCATGACCCTCAGCCGCCAGCCGCACCCTCACCACCTCGCCCCGCCAAAGGGTGAACCTCCTCAACATGAAGGGCCGAAGCACTTTGTGCAGTCGTGCCACCAGGTCCTCCAGGACCAGCGCGCAATGGCGCGCGGTCACCGGCGGCGGTTCGCCGGACCAACGGGTAAGCCGCACCAGCAACTGGTCGATTTTTGCAACTCAGTCTGGCTGGCCAAACTGAATTGGTCTGCAGCTTCCAAACTCTGATCCAAAAATCCATTTGCTCCCCTGCCCCCCTTCATGGATCAGGGGGCTGTCATTCACCTTCCAGTCCTTACCAGGCCAGGATGCGTTGGTGCTCGGACTTGCTTTGGCAATGTCCAAATGTCCTCCATACACTTGAATAAAGACATTCCCCGAAAATCCCCGGAAGGGGATTCACCCACAGGGAAAATAACATATCACCCTAGGGCCCCAATTAAGCAAAACCAGGTACATATCACCCTTTGCATCCTGCTGGGTTCATGGGCACTCGCCCTAGCCCAGTGACATAGCCAGCGCCAATCAGTTCATGCTTTCCGGGTCGAATAGAAGAAGTCGAACGAAATCACAGCCAGCGTGGCTAAGTCGCCAACAAGCTTCTTGTGATATGCCAACTTCTTGCGTTCGTTAGTCACTTGGGGAGAAAAGGACAAAAAAAGAACCAAAACGCCCGTTGCGCGGCTCCTGGTCACCCGTTGCGGCGAAACCGTTTCACTCCTGGTCGACCCGTTTCTCGTGTAGTGCAACCTGCAGCCGGTCCGAGAAGAACTCCTCGCGGGTTGGAGGTAGAGCGGCACGGGTGGGCAGGCGCAGCCTGGTGTATCTTCAGTCTAACGGTTGATTTCTCTTGCTCCAGTGTCTCTACAGTAGTGGTGGTGTGGTGCTAGTTCGGGGTGTGTGTTTTTGGGTGTTTCTTGGATTTGTTGAGGTCGGTTGTTCTGAGGCGAACACATGGCGCCTGCAGCGAGCGTTTCGCTCCGGGTCGCCGAGAACGCTCCGCTCCGCTCGGCGCGTGCGTTTGTTGCGTGCCAAAGCGCTCGGACGACCCGTTCTCGCCGGCCAGGTGGACGGATTCCAGGTGGACGCATGCACCCCCCCCCAGGAAAAGGTGAAGGAAAGCTAGCCGCCTGCTTCAGTAGCTGAGCGACCCCAGTCATAGCTGAGGGGCTGAGGCTAGCGACTCCAACCCTCGAAGAAACCCAAAGGTTTCCACGGCGACTCCATCGTTCGAGTCCTTGAAGTCGCTGTATGACTGGAACATGTCCTCGGTCCGGCCGTGGAGACCCCCAAGGTTTAGATGGTGAAATAGGGGGGATGCTGGGACATATCCCGCTCTTCACTAAGACGACATAAGTGCTGCTGAAACAGAATGCAGCGAGTTAGTGAGAAAGATCAAGCTTAGAAAACATCGTGAAAAATGAAGGGGTTGGAAACCCAAGGGCAAAGTCCCAATAAGAAGAATTGTCAGTAAAAACAATGTTATTGCTGATGAGATTGACAAAGTCATAGCACCTGATATGAAAAACGTAGGGAATGCTGACAATGATGCTGATATACAGTAATTGTAAATTAAGGTGGCATCTGCTGTTTGCTGATCAAAGGCGTTCAAGAACAATTGGTTAGGATACATGAATTGGAAAATGAAGTAGCCAAACTAAAGGGTAAAGGAACGCCTAAAGGCTAATAATGATAATAATGCCATTAACATCCATTAACTACATTAATCATAAAACCGCAGGGTCTATTGTGGTTGATATCTGTCTGCCTTCAGTTCTTTATTTCTCACAATTCCCGTTGTTTGACATGTATAAGGTCAACATGTATCACAAATGACACGTTCAATCTCTTATGGCAATTGATGCTTCACTTGTCAGGCTCTTCAGGGTCAAACAGTGGCATCTCTATCCTTTTCCTTCAACTGCCGTACACCCCTATCAGGCCCTATCAGCAAAACCAGTGATAAAACTTAGCCTTATGATTATGATGCCTTAGGTGTTGGTCTGAATTCCTATCAGTTTGTCATAGAATTTAACGAAGACAAAATGGTAGTCATCACATGTCATCACCATCTTCCAGAGTCAACAGGCTGATTTATTTGATGGCTTGCGCTTAAAATCTTGGCCTTTCTATACAGCACTTGACCATTTCCCCCCTTTGGCTGGGGTCAAGAAAATAAACAATTGATGGCGAGCCCTTCGCCTTACATATACTGAAGCGAATGCTTGAAGCCTTGTTCATCTTTGTCCTGGATGATGTTGGTACACTTTCTCGTTTGAAACCGGGCAAGGAGCGGAGATCCGGAAGGGTTCTGTGGTGCGACACAAGATGCAGGCATGAGGAAGTGCATCAAAGACCAAAGCCTCAAGAGTCGAGCCCAGGCAGTTGGGTGGCCAAGAAAGTCGTCGCGAGCCAATTCCGTCGAAGGAAAAATGCCAACCAGCGGGGCCCCCGGAGCTGATGCCTATCTGTTCTTTTTTTCCACATGTTTTCCCTGTTTTTTGATGGTCGAGCGAGCTCGAGCGTCCAAAAGAAAAAATGAAAAAAAAGAGTCGCGATGCGTCCAAAACGCGGTGCAGGGGCACAGGAACATCCAGGAACTGCGGTGAAGCCCGGGAAGGCAACAACCCCCAACTGTCCCAACTCGCAAGATAATGTAGACTCTTGATTAATGCACCCCCCATATGAAGAGCATGTCCAACTCACATGGGAGGGTTGTTTATTAATCAAGAGTCTACATTACTCAACTCAAGTCCACCAATGTCATGCAAAATACTTGATCCTTCATGCATGATACTTGATGACATTGGTGGACATGGTGGACACCGGGACATGTTGGGACCGTCACTTCTGTCTGGGACAGTCACCCGTCTCCAGCGGACGAGCTTCAGAACTACGACAGCTCCAAGCCGCTCCGTGAGATTGTTCTGCAACGGTGTCCCTGTGAGCAGCAGCCGATGCTCAGTATGGAAGCCTCGGAAACCAACCAAACAGGGCAGGTGGCCCGGGGGGGCGGGCTCAGGTGGAGTTCCGAGGCAAGAAAAATGGTATGCAAAACAGCCGCAAAACCAGTTGGCAACAACGAAGGCTTCCGAGACGTGGATGGCACACCCAGGAACCCTTTGAAAAAGGACAACACAAAGGTCTTCCTTGAAGAAGGACGGACTGCCATCCACTGATCATCGTGATGTGTTCGAAGTTGTAGTTCGTATCAGTTCTTGGGTTCATGAAATCATCACCACACATCAGCAGTATCATCAGAAATCACCTTCTGATTCATGACCCTCTAGTCATCTCTTCTTCCTGCCCTTTATCGTTTGATGGCCAACGAAGTGCTAGTTCACCATCAGTTCATTCACCATATTTTCAGCCGGTCCTGAAATTCAAGAGTTGGTCAGTGAAATGTTCTGAAGTGGGTGGTGAAATTGCAGAGAATGCTGAGCTCTGCCAGGAGACACAGGAACAGCAGCATGTCTTCATCCAACCGTCCGAAGACAATGTTCTGCTGTTGTCTCGATAGTGCCCGCTTGTTAAATGATGTTTGTTGTATATGGACAAACATAAACATGGATGTTCTGGTCATTTCTGGAAGACGCCTGAAATAGGGCTTCGCGAGAACCAAAGTTCTGCGCCCTATCTTCCTGTGCCGCTCTTCTGCCCCTCCAGAACTAAGCCGACAGGCCGAGGCGCGCATCAGTTGCTGCCATTTCTGGGATCGAAAGTTCCTGGGCGCCGATCCGTCGTTGGCGCCCACGCCCGGTCGATTCGGAGTAACGACGTCAACCGCAGAGTCGGGCCCGGGAAGGAACCGCAGTAGGGGCCGCGCCCGCGGGGGGGGGCACGAGGGTAGGGGCGCCGCGTCGCGAGTCCAAAAATTCACACCTGGTGGCCGCTGCCGTGGACGTTTTTGTTTAATGGGAAATTGGAGAAGTCTTGAACCTCAAGGCTTGACACAAACGAATGGACTCACAAGCATTAAAATTCTGGCACAAGTTAGGTGTTCAAAAGCGATCCAAATACCGGGCCTCATCTTGGAAAGGAATTGTGAGCCTTCTTATTCTCTTCGGATCTGGCTCATCAGCAAAGGTTCTTGATATGCTGGGCTTCGTCCAAGATCATGTAGTACCAGCGTTGTCGCTTCCTCGGCAAATCTACCAATCTCCAATTTGATCCGATTTGTTCAACAAAGCCTCATGATCGCGTTTATTGTATAATTCTTATGAGGCTGAACTACAAGTCTCAAAAAGGCTGCCCTGACACTTGTGTATTGATGAAGCACTTTCCTGACATGCATTAGCTGCACAGGAACAACATCACATAGCGCCCTTTAAGATGTAGAAGTGACCCCCAACATGAAGAACATACTGTAGTGATTCCAGTCGGTCATCCTCTTTGAAAATGACTACATTGACAACTGCAGTGACTACATTGATAACTGTTGTGATTCCAGTTGGTTACTGTAGTGCCTCTTTCTATTGACTCTATTAGCTTCACTCCTTCACTCCTTCAAAAGCACCGGTGGCACCGGACTCACCGGTGAACGCCTGCAGCCCGGATGCAAGGGTTGAACGTCCTGCAAGGCGACCGCATACCTCGTGGCACCCGAAGGACCCCCCCCCACCCGAAGGGCGCGTTCCATGTTGGTTGGTTTTTGGGTGGAATCTCCTATGGTGTGTTTAAAGCATTCTAGCAAAGTTCTGGGCCATTTTTGTAAACAAACACTTGTCCGACATCTAGGACCTGGATTTGCACCAGCTTTTGAGGATTGAGTACATCCTGAATAAGCACACTCACGTCCATGATCGCATAGCCACCCACCCATGGCCACTTCAAGAGCCCAGCTGCGCACAGAAGGTCTCTTCCGTCCGAACCCCCCCGCTGTTCGCCACACTGGTGTCCTTTCCCCGCTTTTCAGCCTCCCAGGATCATCCTGGACATGGGTGTCCTGGCGTTCGACTACCCTACCCTACGTAAAGAGTTGCTATAATTCCTGGCCAAGTTTATTAATATTAATATGAAATAGATTGCCAATGGCCCAAAGATTATTATAAATTAGGAAAGCCATTGGCATAAGAGATTAAAATTAATATATTATTATTCATGAGGAAATTTTCCATGTCATTAATCTCTTTTATTATTGGGAAAACTTCCTATAGATTACATATTACTTACTTTTATTCCTTGGCCTTTTTAAACAGACTACCCTACTCCAGGGCACCCAGACAGGAAGTGCTAGGTAGGCAGCTTAGCCTAGGCACGAGACGAGGCAAATGTGGAAGGCGTCGGCGTGGGAGACGCCCCAGCCCCGGCGCTTCCAGCGCCGTTCCTCGCGCCGATCGGATCGGGATGGAGCTAACCCGGTTCCTGCGGAGTCGGATCGGTTCGTAGGGGCAAGACCCGGAGAAGGGGCTGGCACGACGCAACTAGACTCAACTGTACTCAACCACGAATGAGTCATGAATTGCCGACATGAAGGTCCCGACTCCTAACCTGGACCTTCTTCGTCTTTGGGCTGTGGGTGCGAGCAGCGGGACCTGCCCAAGGATGGGTTGTGGGGCTCCAGCGCCCAACCCAGGAAGCCCACCTCTGCATTGCCGAAGTAGGCACAAACCTTCAAGCCTGGTACGGCACTGGTCGGAGACAGCGAATGCATCATCGACAAAGCCTTTGAGGAAGCGTTCTTCACTGCCATTATGTGTGTATATATAGTATATATTAAAGCACTTCATGAGTATTAAAACTATAGCCATCAATACCGTGTGGTGTGTGCGTGTGATATAGTCCTGCGGTCACCATCGAGGCTTCGCCCAAGTCCCGTTGCCCCCTGCACCCGGCACCGCTCGTCTCTCCCAGGTCGCCCCAACGCGCCGTCGACGGCGATGTCATCTCTTCACACCTTCCAGCCACACCGTGTCCCACCGGTGTCCACGAGCGGGACACGTTCTTTTTCGCGCCTGGAGTCCATTTCTTGAGTTCCTTCACCCAGTTCATCAACACCGAGCTTGGCACCACGATGAGGTGCGGCCCCCAGACCTCCTTCCTTGGAGAAAGAAGGGGGGGCAAGTGCTCGGAGCTTGGTTTGGTACATGAAGAAGTTGTTCGTGTTGGGTCCAGGTTTAAAGAAAAGGATGCAAAAGGAGCACCTCACCTGTTTTTATGTGGTTTTGAGTGGCCTTTTTCAGCGTTGAACCTGTCAATCCTCAAATGGATTGAAGCGGCACGTTCAGGGCAGGATGCAGTGTGTGAAGCCTTCTGGTTGAATCTCGTTGGTCTACATGAACTTTGATATAGCTGAGTTTCCCAAACACATGCCAGTATCAGTATCAGTATATGACTATATAATAGTTTTCATGAGCGAAGCTCTTCTTAAGCACACCTTTTGTGGCAAACTCTGTTTCCAAGCCCAAAAACGACATGAGCACAGCCGGCACCGCTCTCTTCACATCTACTAGTTCGTCCTATGCTGCAAGAAGCAACTGTGAGAGGTCACCGTATGGACAATCGAATCAGCATCACAACCCATCTGGCACAGCACATCCGACAAGCAACCTCCTCCAATCTGTGGCTGGGCCACAGACTTCACACTCATCGGCTCGACTTCACACTCTGGGGCAGACTCAGCAGGCCCCTCAGGACCATGCAGGACCTCTCTCCGTCATCACACCATCCACGGATCACTCCCATGACACGACGTGAACGTTGGTAGTGCTTCCCACCCCAAAAAAAGGGGAACACGTCCAAAAATGGCCACGGCGTCTGTACACGAACATGACTGTCCAGGCGTGGCCTCCGGATGAGACGCACTGCCCACCGTGTCCGGCCCCCACGCCTTCGCTGCCGCCTTCCGGCCGGGTCGCTCGATGGCCAAATGCGCCAGCAGGGCGATGGTCATGATGGTCTTCCCGAGGCCCATTCTTGGATGGAGCGAAATTCGGAGGTGAGATCGGGCCAAATGCAGATTTCAACCGTTTTTATTTGACCCTTGGATGGGGAAAACAGCAGCTTCAGCCATCCCAACCGCATGCATTCTTGGGCGCCGCGCCGCCGCTTTTTCCCCGTCAAAACGCGAGTCTTCCCCGTCTCAAGAGGCGGGCGCCGCGGCGCATCCAAGAGGCTCATCGGCCAGGATGCCGTTGAAGTTCTTGTCGTGCAGGGTGGCGAGCCAATGCAAACCTGCCGTTTGGGTCCACCGGCATCGATCTGATGGGATCAGGTCACCGGCATTCACCGGCCCCACCGATCCAAGGACTGCTGAACCAACTCACAAAACGAAAAATGTGAGGCAGTGGGTTCAATTCAAGCAGCTTAAGTACAGGATGAGAATCAAAATGTCCGAAATTTTCTGAAATCACCACCTAGCTGAGTGCTGTTTTTGAGGCCGCCACCCACATGTTGGTACCTCGGCACGAACAGTGAGAGGGAAACATGTCATTCGACATATTCAACTACATTCCGCATTCCCTTCTGCTTCGCAGGTTTCTACTGGTACCCACCCAGAATGCCGTTGATCAAAGGGTAGCAGCTCGATGAGCATCTGCCCAGAGACTGGTGAAATGAAAGCCTGCACGCCATCCAACAACCGCATGTGCTCTTCATTACCCAACCCCCAAAAAGAAGCCTATACACACCAGCAGTTCCAAATGAATTGCTTTTAGATCTTTTAGTAAGGGTCGCCCCTCACCTCCAATAGGCACTCCTTGGAACCGGTGTTTGCACTGTAAGTGTTTAATATATCCCCTGCTGAAGATGAGCCAAGGGGATCAAAGCTGCGTGTGCTTTCTACCAGGGCTGCTTTCCGCACTGCGCTCTGCTAACGAGGCAAATCCCACCATGGAGGAAGCTCCGTGCTTTGACTCCAAGCGGCTCTCGGATGGGATGCCTTAAGAGCAGCACTGGCACCTTGGTGGTGATCTGCTTGGACATGCAGCGCCGGTCGAAGTTCTCTGAGGGCCTCGGGACAACCAACGGCGTCTCCGTGCTCCGAGACTCGAGACTGCTCGACCCTAGCGACCGGTCTCGGACCCGGGGGACGTGTCGAACAAGAAGACAACCTCTTGGGACCTTCGTTCTTAAGGCTTTTGACCTGATCTGACCTGATTGGAGTGACGTTCGGAACGGATCCAAGTTCTTGGAACCCCCGGCTTTGGGTCGGCGAGGGGCCCTTTCCTCCGGGAGTCCGCTAAGGTCGGTCTCGGTCTCCTGGTGCCATGGACCCATTGACGGAGTAGCCGAATGGACACGGAGTGAGAGTCGCCTTCCAGGTTTGGCCCCATCTGAAGGGTTCAAAACTGCACCACAAAAACCGATCTTAGTAACAAGGATGCTATGCTCGGTGGAGGCCAGAAGCAAGTAGGTTGGAGCCCATCGCTACTATTAAGCTACTATGGATCTCTGGCGATGTTTCTGGTGCTCCGCCACACGGATCCCCAATGGGCGGGCTCTCATGGGTCGCTCCGCCCCTTCCCTGCTGCCAATTCGGTGTCCAACCCAACGCTCAGCATGGCGTCGCTGTCGGCTCGAGAGCCGAGTCTTGCTCGTGGACCATCCCATTCCAACTTCTTAGTCACCCTGGTCCACCTCTAGTCACCGTGTTCCCGATTTCAGGTTGTGGATGGTGGTGGTCCAACTCCACTTCAACATACTCCAACTATCACTTTTTGGTGGCCAGTCTTGGGGACACTTCAAGAAGAAAAGAGCACCACTTCCGAAACCTCTGCCACGAAACCGCCAACCCGTGCCCCCCACCGAAAAATGGAAAGACATGGAAATACGCTCCACCCCGACCCTGGCAACCCGCCCTGCCCCCGTAACCAGTGGCTCTCCCATGCGAACGAACGACCCCTCCACGCTCTTCGTCCACTCCTCCTCGAGCCGCTCCCGGGAAGCGGCGCGCGCGGGAGCGACCGCCGCGTTCCTTGGGGGCATGCAGCTGAGCGCCAAGCAGGTGGGCTCACAGCGGGAGGGGAGGGTACGGCTCCAACACGAGCTGGCTGAGCGATTTCTAGTAGTGAAGCTGCAACAACCAGCGCCCCATGCCACGCTTCCAAGCCAAATGGTCGAATTCACAAAAATGCTTCGGACGGGTCGCCCCGACATTGGAGAACTCAGCCGGGTTGCCCAGGTTCAAAGAGCCAAAGTGTCGAATTGCTGGGGGTGAGTGGCTTTGCGTCCTGGTGTGAATTCCAGGTAAGGGTTGGCCCTCATTCCCAGCAGGATGGATTTCGTGGTGAATTTTCATTTGTCATGCTCTGTTGGCTTGGCTTCTGCCCAGGCTCCGCCCAAAAAATCTCCTGGAGAGGCTCGCCTGCTTTAACCTCTGGGTTCCTTGTGAGTTCTAGGAACTTGTCGAGTCTGTTCAGCAGTGGCCTGTGGCCCAAGATCGATGGCCTCTGAGGCTTTCACAAACCTCCCAGTCTCCGGAGCCTTTCCAGCTCCTACTCCACGCACCTTTTTTTCCAAAGCAATGGCCCTTCCGTGGCTCGTCAGAGCTGGGCGACGGCCCGGCCAGAAATCCCAAAGCATGAGCGGTAAGACAACAGCTTACAGCCATCGCCCAAGTGGCACATGAGTTTGGTTAGGGGCACCCTCATTTTGAGACAAGGCTCAAGGACTTCACTTGTTCTTGGGGACACGAATTAGGGCTACCTCAAGTCTCATGCCCAATCAATCTCATGTCGAACTAAAAGATGCTGGAGGATCACTCGACACCCTCTTGATCGGTTCCGGCGAAGGCGTTGGAACCAAGAGTTGAGTTTATCTTTTGGAGACTTGCGTTTTGCCACACTATGGACTTCCAACGACGTGAGAAGTCGGGTTTCTCAAGGGCTATTCACTATCGCCCATTCCTGAACAAATCCCTTTTATAGAGAAGCATCTTTCAGATGGCAGCCAAACTGCACGAGGTGGAGTCTTGGAGTGCTCCATCCAGCCTAGAAAACCCCTAATGAGATATACCAATTCCCTAGCTCACTTGGGCTCGGCATATCTCCTCAAGAACCCGCTAATCTCCTCCAGCACTTCTTCGCGTTTGCCGCGCACCAGCGGGAAGGGCGTGTGACCTGCGCGAAAATCAATCGCTTGCTCGCTCGGTCCCGGGGTTTCGAGTGGATCGGGCTTCCATCGACTCCCATCCTCGGTCCTCGGGAAGTGGAAGTGAAGCCCTCCACAGGACCGGACCCACTCAGTGTACTCTTGGAATAGCCGTATGACACAACATCGATGTAGATGGAAAATCAATCACACAATCCAATGAACACATACAGCATGTGTCAAAACACCGCACATTCACCATCATTCACCGCTTCTTTGGCTGTCACGCTCCAACTATTTTATAGGCAAATGTTCTGGATTTACACTGGGCTGAAGGAGCTCGTCATCCAAGCATGTGTCTTTCTAAGGGGTGGTGGCATGCAGATGTCCCATGTGGTCTACATACAAGGCGTATCACAATTTCATTTCCACTCATGCTGGATGACTGAAATTACAAAATACTACAAGAAGTATTCTATATCAAAGGAGCTGTTGGGTTTTGTCAGACGTTTTGCATCTTTTTACCCTTTTGTAGCCTATGGCCTACTATAGCTCCACGCTTCCAAAGACCATCTTCCGCCGAAGACTTCCCTGTAACATTTTCTCTGCAGGCCGTGTCACGAATGTGTTTCAATGGATAGCAGTGTTGCGAAGAAAAACAGAACACAAGACACTAGAAAAGCACATGAGTCCAAAATTCCAAAAGCTCGAAAAATAAGCTTCTAGGAACAAAGGGCATCGCTACAAACGGAGCAAGAAGTTACTACTATAGTAGCTGGTAGCTCCTGGCCATACTACTAGAAACAAGAAGCTACTAGTAGCAATGGATACCCGCCGCGCTCTGTTCGCAGGTCCACTGCCCGGTCTCCCCGCGCGGGTCGAGCCCCGCCTCCGTCATGCTCCAAGACCCGCCGCTCACAACCATCGGCGTCGGCGTAGCCTGCCACGTCCAAGCAGGTCTCTCTCGATCCATCGCTGGGCTTGGACAAGCTTGGATTTGCTTCAGGAACCTGGGGAGAAACAAACAAACTATTCTCCAAAACGATGTGTATCAGTGTATATATGCAAATATTCACACACAGGGAAGGATAATATATGGAAATACTTACAAAAATTACAAGGGCAGAAACACCTTCTGGAGACATCGGGGTTGGAATTAAGTGGGTACCCCGGGGGTAGCGATTTCAGAGTGCTAAAATGCTGGGACCAACCCCCCTCCAATCATGGTCACTTTCTGACCCTATAAAATTGAGGATAACATAGGAAAAGAGTCCAAAAACAAAGATTCAGCTTTATAGAATTGAGGGCCATTAGTCTGTCAAAAGCTGTGGAAAATGGTTGATATTGATGATTTTGCTCTATAAAAATGCAGGTCCTGAGGTACTCCCGAACAGGTGTGTTTCAATAGGCGTAAGAAACTGGTTCTCTATAGAATCAAGGTACAGGGTTCTGAAGAAAACAGGAAAATTCAACTTTCAAGGAATGCATTGATTTCCCAGTTGGTAGGACCACAAATCTACAGAGAAAATAGAAGGTGTTATGGAGAGGTAAGGATCTGTGATTTATAGTGTCCTATAAAACCTCTCGGAATCAGGAGAGTTTTGAACTCGAAGCATTGAAAGATAACATCAATCTCTATAGAATTGCAGTTCCTAACATGCAAAATCATGCTAATAATTCTCTATAGAATCAGTATGTCTGAGGCACCAAGATCCACTGCACCGTCACTTGAAAACCTCTATAGAATCGAGCTTGTGAAAAAGAACAATTCTCTATAAAATCGAGAAACTTGCGGATGAGGACTTTCAAGCCTCCATATGAGCCAAGAAAAAGTTGCTTTAAAACAAATCACTTTATCGGGGTCCCAACCCCCGCGATTTTGTAGAGGAAATTCCATCCCCTATCTGGAGACTAGGTTTTTCTAAGACTAGGGGCTGTACATGGATGTGGGCCAAACTTTCTCAGTACAAGGATTTGGTTCCAACATCAATGTAACATGCTCACAGCTTCTCCAATCGCTCCAGAAGAAGAGATGGCCAGAATCCCCAACATCTTTTGGCTTATCTTGGAATCGCTCGCCAGCTCCTCACACAACCCTTGGCATCTCCGAGCTGCTGGACGAATTGAATGAGTGACTGGTGTGAGGATGTGGACGTGACCGCACCAGCCCTGACGCAAAACTTGTGAGGACCACAAAAACATGTGGAGGCCTTCGCATCAAAGGGCGGGACAGTACAACAAACGCACTGAAAAACCCGCTCTAGTCGCGCTCTTGGAAAAAGTCGGTGCCTTCCAGGAGGTATTTGGACTGAGCCAAGTAGGGATCTCCTAGCCCGATGATGTGCAACGAAGGAAAGCCACCTCACGAGATGCGCAAGCGGATCCGGAGCGAGATGCGGATGGTGCTTCGCCCATTCGGAGGCCGACGGCGTGGTGCTCCACGGTGTTGTGCGATCAAAACGTCCCGGATCTTCTGTGCGCTACAGTTCCCAAAAGATTCCCGAAGACTGAGTGCGAAAGACTCTCCTCGTCCCACGTATTGGGAACACTGTTCCCCCTCCCAATCCTCTCAATTCCTGTCTGCTTGTCCCTCCCCTTCTTAGCTGGCTCGCCACGCAGCGGCAGCCGCGGCGTTTGCCGCGTGACCTCGCAGGTGCCGTCGCCCCAGAAGCCCCAGATGCCGCCGCAGAGGTTCACGGAGCACCTGAGGCCCAAGCTCCGTGCCGAGCACGCCTCCGGCGGAGAGGGTGGGCGCGAGGGCGAGCGAGGGGGCGGGCGGTGGATCCTGCCGTGCAAGGAAAGCGGTTTTCTCGGTTCTCTCGGTGAGTGCTGGCGAGGGCTGGCCGAAGGCGCTTTTGGGGATGTTTTAGAAGGTTGCCGGTGGAAGTGCCACTGATGCTGGAGCGGAGTGGTTGGTGAAGGAAGCAGTGTGGAGGATCTGAGGACCTTCAGTCAGAAGAGGTGGAAGTGACGTAAAGCCTGTTTTGGCTGAGTTGGATGTTGCAGCCTATCACCCAAGTGCTCACAGGACTGGTGACCGTGCAACCATGTTGTTCTTCTATAGGTGCTTGTAGGTTGCATGGTGAGCTTGATGCGGTTTCCTGTCCATCGTCCACTAAGATGTCATGGAATTTCTTCATCTAGTAGCTTCGTGCTACTAGTAGTAGGGCCAGGAGCTACTACTAGTAGCTTCTTGCTCCGTTTGTAGCGATGCCCTTTGTTCCTAGTAGCCTTTCTGGAACTCACATGGAATGGGAAAGCCCACTGTCAAAGGCTCTCCCGCACCACGGTTTGCCATCACGGCCTGCTTCGCAATCAGTGCCGCGGCCACGTTGGCGCCCTGGCTGAAGCCCAGTGCCGCGAAGAAGCCGCCCGCCTTCCTGGAGGTCTGCAAGGTCGAAGGCCGAAGCCCACCCTAGTAGCCAGGGCCTCCATCCTAGTAGCCATTGGCCTCCATTCTAGTAGCCAGTGGCCTCCATCCTAGTAGCCATTGGCCTTCACCCAAGTCGCCATGGTAGTAGCCATGGCCTCCACCCTAGTAGCCATGGCCTCCGTCCAAGTAGCCATGGCCTCCACCCGAGTAGCCATGGCCTCCATCCCAGTAGCCATGGCCTCCACCTAAGTAGCCATGGCCTCCATCCTAGTAGCCATGGCCTCCACCCGAGTAGCCATGGCCTCCATCCCGTAGCCATAGCCTCCATCCAGCCATGGCCTCCATCCAGCCATGGCCTCCACCCAAGTAGCCATGGCCTCCATCCTAGTAGCCATGGCCTCCACCCGAGCTCCACCCGAGCAGCCACGGCCTACTCAAGTAGCCATGTAGTAGCCATGGCCTCCACCCGAGTAGCCATGGCCTCCACCCAAGTAGCCATGGCCTCCACCCAA